ATTTTCATCTATATTCCATAAAATGATTAGGAAAGGATGTTTTCCATTGAATATAAAAAAGTGAATATCTCCATTGAATATTAACAATAAATTAAACGGAGGGAGTTTTGACGACAAATATAAACGGATCCGTAAGTACATCAGACGCCGGGGCGTCCCCGAGGAAATTGAATTAAAAGCGCTCTTCTCCTCACTGACGAAGTTTGTCATATTCAGTGCTATATTTATATAAAACATTAAGCACGCTTTATTTATTGGTTACTCAGAAATATAAATCACGAGTGTGATTTATGTCTACATATACATTTAATAAATAACTAAACGTCTTTCAGTATGAGGTAAATCGATATGTTGGATCTTAATAAAAGCAAAACAAGCTAAGACTATAATTTTCAGCATTTTTGTCTATTGTCTGTATGATAATGGCTTTAACCAAAAACATGTTACCCTAAAAGATATAAATAGATAAGAAAGTGTTGATAGCTATTTTGTTTATACTTTTTATGCGACTTACTAACGTCACAACTTTAATCCTTGAAAGTATAAACAGAGTTATCTTATAAAATGGAATCAGTAAATGCTAATAAACTATACATTTATTTTCTTTTGAAACTGTTTATTTAAAGTGCTTTTATATATAAGTATATTTTGATATGCATAAAACAATCTCAAAATTGAATAAATTTTACAAATAACAAAAACGGTCACGTGCGAGATTGTGCCTGAAAAACTAAGCAGTAAAAATCAGTTTCATATGTAATATCTAAATGCAACGCCCAAAATAGGTACCAAGTGATGCCCCACTTGGTCTGTTAGTGCAAAAAAAAATATTTATCCAATTATTTTCACTGCAATATAGTTTTACATATTGTTGACCCACACAGGGTCAACAATATGTAAAATTATAACAAATTTAAAATCGATAGCATTAGTAGTTGCTAAGGCATAACGCTATCACTGTGACAAAGTTAGAGCATAAGAGTATTTTTGTAATCTTTTGTTACGGAACCCTAAAATAGTTCAACACTGGTGATATAATCGTGTAACATAGTTACAAAAATTCATACGAATTCATAACCTACTTTTCTGATTCATTTAAAACTAAAGAATACTATTCATTAAAAATTGTCTTTAAAAATTAAGCTATTTATGGAATAAGAAAAATCCTGAATGACTTCCTTATAATATAATTTGATTAGCATTAGGATACTTGTTAAATTAATATACGGTGTAACGAGGCGTGAATGAGCAAAGATAGTATGTGACGTTATATGGGATGAGCTTTTGTGATAGTCTTGACTACATAGGGGCTATATCAATGCCCTCTATATATATGTACAGATGTTGCGAGGTCGAATGCGAGGGCTCAAATAAATCTTAACATTGAATTAATGTCCATTTTAAATGAAAGATAAAATGTTTAATATGTGTGTGAATGTGTATGAAACATATATGTATATATTTTTCTTCATATTTTTACATTCGTAAGTAAAAATAGAATCTTTTAGCATTTGTTTTAGTCAATTGGTACAGAGCTATGCAAATTATGATTTGTATAGCTTGCCGCAGGAAGTCGATAAATATTTTTGACTCAAGATAGTACTTTATGGTGAAATTTTGTCCAACGCTTTTATATGAGCGAGACCCATAACATACTGTTATATTTCAATATTGGACAATGAGTAGGTTAACAACTAGGTTAACTCACATATTTCTCATAATAATAATAAAATAAAGTAATAAAAATATTTACTAGAAATAGATTTCGTACAAAAGTTGTTTGCTTGGGCACCTCTATCCCATTCGTGTTTCTACCGTGAAGCAGTTGTGTTTACATGACTGTGTTTCGGTTTGAAGGGTAGAATATGGCAGTGCATTTACAGGTTGCAGAAGCATAACATCTTAGATCTCAGAAATGGCATTGCATGAAGGGTATCATAGACGTAATAGTATACTCTGTTGTCGATAGCACTGTTCATGTCTATAGGCGACGATTATATATATATATATATATATATATATATATATATATATATATATATATATATATATATATATATAGTTAATTTGATTAAATCGTTCTCAAGTTTTAGATATGCATTTACAATATTTTAATGAACAACATTTTAGATTTATGAATGTATGTATGTGTACTCATGTAAGTAGTTTTAAACGTAAATAAACCTTATCACATACTATTATCGTCAACATTTAGTAATAATTTATAATGATTAATTACTGCTATTAATTATATAATATAATATCAGAAGTATAAATAATTAGACACGTGCAATAAGTGGTCTTTATGAATGATATAAACATTAAATTTTTACAATGAATTATTTACACGGTTTACTATAGAAATGTGTCGTTGATATAAACAATTATTATAAATTAAATTATACAAAAATAAAAAAAAATACAATCTCAGTTTGAGAATTTCTATTCGTATTGCTTATATTTTACTTGCCTATTATATCGTGGATAATTTAACCTTCTATTATATGATAAACTAGATTTTAGTATGTTACAACGTACGCGTGGATTTCAGATGCAGAAAAATTCAATCAAGTAGACGACTTCTAGATTCTATATCGAGATAGAATATACACCCAGTTTCTAAGATTTTCAGAAATACAATTATGAAAACCGCGTCTAATTCCATACAGAATCTTTTATGCTATACCAAAACAATTGTACAGATAAACAGAAAAACAAAACAAAAAAGACTTATGGCTTCTATTGCTCTTATTAATACTTTACATATATTTTTGTTTTAAATTAATGTACAGACCATAGTTACAATATTATAATACATACATACATATCTGTCACGCCTGTCTCCCATTAGGGTAGGCAGAAAAAATGGAACGCCAAATAATATTAAAGATAATAAAAATACAATGAAAAAAACCAAGCGTTATACACTTGAGAAAACTTTTATATTCCATCGAAGTTAACGTCAATTTAAGCGCGTCCACGATGTCGAAAAATTATACTATAAAGATTATCTCATAAGAAATCGAATAAATTCTGAAAATAGCTGTATAGAATAGTATATAATAGAGTAAAACGGATAAAAACCTTTTAGATTAAAAATAATCATCAAAATCAGAATTGGCGACGGTATTGCATACAATAAAACATCGAATAATCAGCATCCTCTTATCTAAACTCAGTGAAAAATAATAAGATTTACCGTTCATCAGATCGATGTAAGTTACAATATTGACACCACTGTGAAATATTACTGCAGAAAATAGAACTCATTGAATATTTCTGAAACCTTTCTATTTTATTCGGCAGTAAGGCAACTGAATAATGGCTGGGCACCCTGCTAGATAATGAATGATAGGGAATGCTCTTTCCGCTAAACAATGGTAATAAATACAGCGACTACAGCGCTTAGCGTCGTCAGCCAACGGCCACGAGGTTTCTCTGTCTATGTGCTAGTCTATGCTTACATAGCGAACTGTCTATATGTGAGTGTAACGTCCCATGCACATACATGTGATTTTATTAACAGTTTCTAGCTATGATTTATAAGATTTGATGGAAATTTACTCGTTCATTTAGGTAAACTATAATCACTTGTCATGGTCATGACTACGGTCGGTATAAATTAGTCCAAACGGCACGGTAAATCTAAATAAATGATTAAATTTTTCTCTAAATAATCGCCTTAGTTTTCGCCCGTTCAAAAATCATAAACCATGTAGTACGAAGGTTTAAAAATTAATTTTTAGCAGTGGACTTACTAGAAGCCTATATTTTTCTTAAAATTTCATGTCAATTGGTTAAGGCGTCAGAAGGTAAACAAAGGAATAAGAAAATAACCGCACTTTTACGATTATAATATTTGTAAAGAGTAAGCTTATTGAAGGAGTTTTGGTATTTGGTACTTAATAAAGATTGGGTATATAACTGTAGTTTTTGTTTTTCACGAGAATTGAGATAAAAATATCCGTTATATTTATATTGAGTGTATCTAGTATAATAATTATGATCCATTTATATATATTTCTTTTCATGTTACTGACATCATCTATTGAGCTCTTAATTAACAATATATATTAAATTTATAATTACAAAAGTGAACTCGTTTGTTCTTCTTGGCATCTTGACTTTGACGACTCTACCAATTTTCATGAAATTTGGCACACTATTTTATTGTCATAATATACTAAGTAATATAATACTGTTTTACTCAATATATGTGAGTGCAATAATCTAAAATATGAGCTCTTTATTATTTAACTTCTAATAATTAATCTTAATTATATAAACTACGGTTTGAAGGGTGGGATCTGGCGTGAATTTACAGGTAACAGAGGAATAACATCTGAGTCCTCAGGAATGGCAACATATGGGAGGTATCATGGGCGAAACAGTTTACTCTGTTATGTCCATGGTACTGCTCATGTTTATAGGCGACGGTTTCCACTTTCCATCAGGTGGGTTGTCAGCTTGTTTGCCATTCTAAGTTGTATAAAAAACTGCATTTGATGATTATGAATATGTATATAAATATATAAGCAAGTATTTTAAATTTAGGTGATTGTCAATTTGATCATTTTTTACATGTCTATCTCATGTGATTTCACAGTTTTGATGATTTTTGAAACTATCTTCTATCTAACTATCTTGATGATCTTTTACTAATTTGATCAACATAAAGAAGTCCTTTTTGGTGAAAAACAAAACCTTTAATTATTGTCATTGACACTTGTTTACCATTTTAAGTAACATAAAGAATAAAGTGCTTATTTGTCTAGTTTAGGTTTATATAAAAAATTCTAATTATTTTTTATAGTAACTCTTAATCTGAGATCTACCTTCATTATAACTTTTAAAAGCGACCCTTTTTATATCTATAAAAAGTACTGAAAAAACTTAACACCGGTAAAGTGTGTTCGTGACTTTACGATGTGAAAAGAGAACGTTTTCCAAGTTACACCGAACACTTGATTCAGCCAATCAAATAAACCCACCCTCCGGCCAGTCTCCCGCGCCTCTTCTCTTTATAAACGGTACAGAGCCCCGACGACGGCACAGTATACTCCAACAATTGCAACGGCGCATCCCCCAATACGATAAATTTATTTAATTTATCCAACTCAAGCTTAATTGTCTTTTATAATAGTAATATTTACTATTTATAGTAATTTAAATCCTCCTTAATTTGACCTCAATACCCAAGACTTTTTTCGATACAGTGTTCCTTTTTTTTAATTTATAATATATTATATTTTTTTAACATATAATTTTTATATAATGAGTGGTTCTGGAAAAGGGCTTTTGGGTTTGTGGCTATACAGAAATGGTTCTGATTGGCAAGTGAAGAACGAGGCACCTCATCATCCGAAATTAGCAGAAATACAAATGGCAGCGCAGCAGCGATCTTCATCTGAAGGGGAGAGGATTTCAGTGATATTCACTTTGAAAAACCAAGTCGGTGGCTTAGTTAGAGCCCTGACTGTGTTCCAAGACTTGGGCATCAACGTTCTTCATATTGAATCTAGGAAATCTGTGACAACCAATGCCGCTGTGAGTTATGATAAATTTTCTTTTTCACCGCTTATACAAAGGAACGTTAAAAGTTTAAGATGAAACCTTTGTCTAAAGCGCCATAGCTTTAGATGAAAACTGGTTTGGTCTGGATATTTTTTAATTATTTGATAGGAAGCTGTTTAACCGTTCACAGAATAGGTATTAATAACTTTTTTGTTTTAAATATTTTATTTTGTCTTCATTTATCTTTCTATTATATTTTTATCCTATTACAACTCAGTACAAATGCTTAATTTACATTTATAAATAAAGTATCGATTTATTAATATTCATTAAAATATAATCTCTTTTCAAAATTGAAATTTGTGGTTCTGTTTTTTGCCAAATAATCATTATATGGCATACTTACTGTAGATATTAAATTAGTCTAAATACAAGTTGGTTTTGAAATTATTAGCATTCTTCTAAAACTGTAAGAATTCATTTCTACCCCGCAAGAAACAAAAGTTTGAACAGTTCATACTACATCGGCGCATTCGGTTATTAATTTGTGTAGTACGTTTTTATATTTTTGTCACTTTTCGACTAGGTTTTAGGGTTCCGTCTTAATAAGGTACAAAATTACCCTTATGGTGTGACTTTATCCGTACGGAACCCTCGGTGTGTGTCTTCAACTCGCACCTGACCAATTTCTTTTAAGGAATGGGGCACAATATACAATGCACTAGTAGAACACGACCTTTATACTAATGATTTTAATTTTATATGGTATAGGGATAAGCTTTATTAAGACTTATTTACGGTACATGGATACTTTCGTCTCAATTGACAGGCGGATATCTTGGTGGATGTCGAGTGCGATCCTCGCCGTTTGGAGCAGCTTCAAAGGATGTTGAAACGTGAAGTCCAGGATTTTGAGGTGATACCACCTCAATCCGGTGAGGAGTTCCCTCCACCAACTCCACTTTCTGCTGCAGCCAGCTTTGGTAAATATGAAACATTTAAATATTTAAAAAAAATACGTGAAATGTATGTAGTCAATTATAGTGTGTTATATATATTAATCACAAATATAAAATAAAATTCAGAAAATATATTGGATAATAAATGAAATGCAATTTTTATGAGTTTACAGTGTTATATGTTTTTTTTATATAATGAGTAAATAATTATCGTACTTAAAAATCTGTTAAAAGAGTTCAAATATATTAAACATTTTATGGAATAAAATGCATGCTTCCTTCTATTTGGTTACAATTTTTATATAAACACAAAAATAAAAGTAGCCATACATAATTTATAGTAGATGATTAAATAAGATGAAGTTGATTTGAAAAATGTTAATATAATATTGGTTGTTCTTCCGATGTCGACTATTATTTTTTAAACTTATATATTATTTTAATATTATAAGCTGCAATGGTAACGGACTACTCATATGACTAGTGATGTATGTTCTTCGAGCTATGTAGCTCAAAGAATCTACAACCGAAGGGGAAGAAAGGTTCTTGAGTGGCGAAACTCTAAGGGTAAACGCAGTGTAGGACAAACCCCCACTAGTTGGAATGACGACCTCAAATGCATTGCATGGAGTCGGCCGATGTAGGAAGAGAGGGGGGGGGGAGGGATTGTAATGAGAATCAGCAACCCTATTACTGGCAATATACCTTATCAGGTTGACCTCCTGGCAGTTCTCTCTGGAAATCATCGCGACTGATTCATTGTTGAATTCGTCACGATGGGTTAACTGGCTTGCGTCATCTTCACTTATCATCCCTCACTGATGCCCGTGTATACTAATAGCGCATTCTATTTTTAAATTTTTATAAAAAGAACTTTATGAGGGGGGCCTATGTTCAGCTTGGGACAGATAATGGTGATGATGATTATTTCAGGGATATATATTATTTAATCTAACACCGGTTGCTTCCAATTTTATAATACACATACATAACATTTATTCGAATTTATTCATATAATTTATCGTAGGAGAAAACCAGTATATACTCTGTATCCAAATTTCATCACCATATTAATTTTTATTAAAATCCATTGAGTTTATAATCAGAAAACAGACATAAGAAATTCGTATATTTATACTATGATTTCTAATTTGATTAATGTCCCATATCTAAATTCATGTTTATAATCTATGGTCCTCAAATCCCCTTTAATTTATAATTTCGTTTAAAAGAAAGTAAACTATTTTGTTCTAACTGAAATTGATATAAAATAACACAAAGAGAGTCTCTAATAACATTATTTACTAATCACAATTCATATAAAATAAAATAATTCCTTATCCTAAAACTTAAATAAGTCGGTAATAACTAACTAGGAAAATAGGCATTTATTAATATTATAAAATATAAATAAATGCCTATTTTGGTCAGTAGGTACCTATTATTAATCACGAAATTGCCTAGTTATTTGTTATTTAAATTTCAAATTGGAATACCAAGAACTTCTTGGAATATTTGAAATGTATAAATGAATTATTAATGGAAAAATATAAGAACTTTTTCTTATGTAAATATTTATTTTTAGTATAATTCTAAATTGGAAATTCAGATAATATAAATTGGTACAAATTTGTTTAACTTACGTTAGATCAAACTTTGATTTTTTTTCAAAAGAGATATTGATGTATCTGTGTATACATATATACATCTTAAATATGTTACATATAATGGATTAGTTGAAAAAATATTTTTTAATTTCCGTTAAGTAATATAATTTATGACAGGCTGCATTATTAAGAGGAAATTAACCGCTATAGCAACCTAAGAATGATATTGGGGTACATATATGGACAATACCAGCATACTATTCTCATTCTAGACGGCTTTGTATTCTATTGCACTCTTCTAGTGGTATAATATCCGCTTCATCAAAATTAAATAATTGTGTGTTCTAATCTAGCCACACTAATGTGTGCCAATTTAAATTTATAGCACTTCACTGATGAATATCATTTTTAGCAAATCAAATTAACCCCAGTGACAATTTCTGCTACATTATTTTAAAATATGACAGCATGTGGGTATATCGAGTATTATATTCACCACAACGGTAATAGTTCACAAGTACCTGTGAATATCCCATTCAGGATATAAGTCATAGTCATATTTATAGACTTTCCTTTTGTTTAATTAATAGCAATTATTAAAATCTTCATAGTGGCTGGCTTCCTTCATTAAAATTATTTTCAAATTATTCAATATTTTTTTTTAGATTTTGGTGAAATGGTGTGGTTTCCTCGTAAAATCTCGGACTTGGATAGAGCGCAGAATGTTCTGATGTATGGTTCGGAGCTTGACGCTGACCATCCAGGCTTCAAAGATCCTGTTTATCGAAAACGGCGTGAACAGTTTGCTGCTATTGCAAATAATTATAAATAGTAAGTAAATTGCATAATTCATAAAGCGTTAAGTTTTCTTTCATTATTATATATAATTATTCTATTACTTCTATGAGGGTGTGGTGTATTACATATATCTGAGGGTGATCCTTAGGTGTCGAGAGTTTCTAGACCGCCTTCATTGTAAACGAAAGCTTCTAAGGTAATGCGGGTTTTATTAGGTACATGCCGTTCGAATCATGGTGCAATAATCTTTTTAAATTATTCAAACAATTTGGTTTGGTAGTTTAAACTGTCATCCGACTAAACTATCATTGCTCTTATAATATTATTAATAATAATAAGGAATGAACAAGTAACCATGATCTTTATCTGACTTCTAATCATCTCGATTGTAATTATTATAAATTATCTGTTATAAGACTAATTAAATTATATTACAATAAATTAATTAGTTTGTATTTCACTAGTTATTGCCATTTTTATTTTTATATATCTAATCTTTTTATACGTCGTTTGATGTTTTTAGAGTCAGAAATAAATTAATAACTAATATTGTCATCAAACAAGAAACCCAGTAAAATCTACCTAGTATTTTTCAATCGTAGACCTTTTTTACAAGCTTGCTATTATTATTTACATTTATGAAATAACAAAAAATAAAGAGACATTATTTTTTTTGTCAGAAACAATACCTTTTACCTGTAATTCTCTGATATTAATAATATCTAATTCATATTTGTGAAAAAAATCATTATTTTTTACAAATATATACATAACCAACTTATCTATAGCCCGAAAGATAAAATATATTAATTATTATTTTTGGATAAAAAAAGATTTTTAATTGAATTACATGTAATTTGCTAATATTAATAATTCTTATTTATAAAAACAAATTAATATTTTCCAGTTGTTTAAATTACTATACAAAATTCTCCGAAATCCATCTAATACTTCAGTGTTTTGTAAATATGTATGTATAAATTCAATCTTTTGTTATGTAGTGGGCAACCAATTCCCAAGGTTCAGTATACTGACACCGAAATTAAGACTTGGTAAGTTTACTAATAGGTAATATACGTGTTTAGAGTTTTCAGTTTATTTGGCGCGCAGTTGTAATATGCTACGTATTTATATTATTTTAATAAATATTTAGTTTTTGCATGGTATTTATGTAGTAACGTTGCTTTTACGAATTTTAATTTAGAAACATGCGCATATGCGAATTATATTATTTCATGATGGTTAGGTGTTACCGGTAGTTCATACGCTTGGCAGGCACGTTGGCCCCTGATGATGTTTAAAGAAGGACGATGCTGCTAATCCCTCGACAGTTAAGTTCTCTTAGTCGCCTCCTACGACGCCCACAGCAAAGAAAAAAATGACCCGTTCTATGTCGGGACGACACAGCTAGTATACATATGCTAATGTATTATTATAGTATAAACAGAAGTATTTCATGCCTCTAATTACATCAATTGCGAATTCATATTGACGTTTTTAATGAATACATATTATTATATATATGCACATTGCTGAACGTGGTCCTACCCCTTAAGGTGAGTTTTGCCAGTAGTTGCCATGCTTGGCAAGCGGGTTGGCAACTGCAATTAGACTTTGATGATGTTTTAAAAGGAATGCTGGTGCCCATTCCTTGACTTCTAAATTCCCTTAGTTGCCTCTTACGACACTCATGGGAAAGGACAGGGTGGCCCGTTCTATGCTGGGACTACACAGCATAGAATACACATACCTACTTGTAATTATATTGTATGGCAACAGCCACCATAATTATGTCTAAATTATTTAATTATAAATAAAATAATGTACTCATATATTTTCTTGATAATAAAATTATTTAGGTCTATCGTTTTACCTGCTACTTTGTAAGCGTGGTTTTTGGAAGTCGAAAACCAATAAAATTTATCTTCTTTGATATATACCGTCTAGAAATAGTCTATTTATATATTTTTTTTACACGGATATCGTTAACTTACAATTTTATTATGCAATTAGCAAGATTTTATTTACAAAAACTCGTTTTCAATAATCACACTACTAGTATGAGATTAATATTCGAGTAAATCTTGTCAGTCATATAGTGTATCTTTTAAATCGATACAGAATTGGCAATGACGCATAACATGAGCAATAAACATACAATCGAAACTACGTTGCCCTTTTTGACAAAATTAGAATTAAGAATAAATAATCCTACGAAAATTGCAATAAAACAACTCAAATTATAATAAATTTGCCTAGTATAAAATAAAAATATATCTTCTTATGTATCTTCTTGTACGAAGCCAGAGTCGCTAGTTATAATATATACTTATACTCGTAATCGATTTCAAATAAACTTAATGAAAAAGTAACCAAGTTTTATTGAAATTAAATTAGAAATACTTTTTTTTTATATACCACAAAGGTGGCAAACAAACCTACAACCCATCTGATGTCCGTCCTGAACACTAGGGATGTCACGTGCGTGTTGCTCATCTTGAATAAACTTTAATATACTATTTTTGAAGAACCACATACTGTAGTCTCTAAAAAAAGCCTCGGCAGGGAGCCACAGTCTCATCGTTCGCGGGAAAAAAACTCTGAAATCCCACCGTATTAGACTATTTAGGTTCAAGTGTATGAGGATGAACTCTGTGTCAATGGCGAGCGGTGTGTTGATAAGAGGTGGCTGTAGGCGTCAGTTGGACGGAAATCGTAATGTGGAGTATAATAGTGTAAAAAAACCCGTAAGTACTGGACACAACTCAGGAGTACATAGCTGTTATGCCAATACCGGTATGCTGTCCGGGCTATTCGACTTACTGGCGTCAAGAGGCAATAATTTCTGCCGGACTCTCCGTTGTGGTATAGAAATCTTCAACACGGAATCTACGCAGCACGGGATGATAGGTAGTACAGATGGTTAAATAAATTTCTTAACAAATCAACACATTCAATAAATGAATTGATGTTTTAATTGTACTGCTTTTGGACATCAGCAGACTATTTTAAAATCATATCGATTATTCGTTTGTTTACATTTTCATTAAAGTCTGTTGAATCAAAAATTTAAAATAAGTTACTGTCTGTATTTGACGTATAAATGACGGGACGTATATACTAGATGTAATAGTACTGGCGTGCGGTCCCGACATAAAATGGGCTTCTCCTTCCTTTCCTGTGGATGAAGGGATAGGCAGCAGCGTCCCTCTTAAAACATCACCAAAGCCTCTATGGTTACCAACCCATATGCCAAGCGTGGCAATTACTAGCAAAACAGGGGAAGCCTGTGTTCGGCAATGAATAGTTAACGGCTAATATAAATATTAGTTTCAAACTATCTGTAATTTCATCTACAGGGGGATTGTATTTCGCGAGCTTCATAAACTTTACCAGAAGCACGCATGTGAAGAGTATTTGGAGAACTGGCCGCAACTTGTCAAGTATTGTGGCTATAGAGAGGACAACTTGCCTCAGGTAATTACACTTGAGATAGTATACTATCTGGGTCACTTTAATACGTTTTCCACTAAACAATTCCAGTTTAGTTTAGTACTTGTTCGGAACATCAGAACTTTGTAAATGTAAGATGATCAATATATGTTTATCTTATCCTGTACTTACCATTGCCAAAATAGATTGTAGTGTGATATTTTTTATATAAGTTAGAATGGTAAACTAGCTGATGGTCCACCTGATGGAAAGTGGAAAGTGGTCCTAATATATAATAATAATAGCATGGACATCATAATAACGCCCCAATGTACCTATTCATAAAAATATTTTAATTATTGAACTGTTATTTCTCTTTCTTATACTTTAGTATACTCTATTATGTCCATGATACTGCTCATGTCTATAGGCGACGGTTACCATTTTACATTAGGTGGGCCCTCAGCTTGTTTGCCATTCTAAGTTGTATAAAAAAAAAAAAAACTAAATTTCCAATTTGAAAGAAAGCTATAAAATAGTGTAATAATTAATCTATAGAAGGGTTTAGTTTTCATGACTAAAGAGGTAAATATTTATAATTCCATAACGTGTGATTTTATTGACGTTTTATTATTGACACTGCTGGAATAGTTTCTTAAGGGTAAAAGCATAAATGGTACAGAGATATCTATCCATGCTGACGACTTTTAGACAAATTCTCTCTCTAGCGAATCTAAATATCACAGTTATTAAAATAACGCCTGTAGCATGTGAAATTTGAATGATATTATGCTATATTTGTATTTACATTCATATCTCATGCGTCATAATACTTTTTATAAGAATATTATTTAAAAATCTGACATGATTACCAGTTCTTGTTTTATTTCACGTCAATCAATATCCGTGATTAGTTTTAACATATTTATTTATATATAACATTAATGTTATGACATTCTGTTTAATTATTAAAACAGTAGCTATTTAATTTGCTTTTAATTTCTTCCACATGCGTGTCGTTGAAATACCAATAGGTATGTTATTTCATCTATTAATTCACACAATGTATTTACTCTATATAGTATAAAAGGGAATTTGATCTTTTGTCTGTTCCATACCTGACCGCAAGTCAAAATAGACCCAAGGGTATGGTTTGTGAAATACCGTACCGTCCTCTTAGTAAAAGGCTTATTGGAATCAAGTGCGTACAAGCCGGAAAATACAAGTGATTAGTTGATTAATACTCAATTCAATATTCTCTTTAACCTATAGATTTACTTACATTTAGATTCCATTGAATATGTAATAGGATAATTATATTTAATAGTAGGTGTATCACGCGGCTTCACCCGTCTGAGTCGTTATTTAAAGTATCATATGTGCTAAGTTAGGATGTAATCTATTCGCTCATTCAAATCCGTTCAGTAGTTTTTGCGCGAAAGAACAACAAACATCCATCCATTAATTTATTTATCGTTAGAAACTTTCGCTTTTATTTTTTATTTTTATTAATAATATTGTGATGAAAGTAAGTACATTTGTTTGTTTCTTAACTCTTGGCGCCTGACTGACTCAACCAATCGTCATGAAATTTAGTGTGCATGTAATCACTCGTAATAATAATACTTACGTAACCAACTCAATATGTATACATATAGTAGTAGATTTGTATATCATTAATATCAATTAACAGTTTATCAATTAATATTTTAACCAGGATTGTGATAAAAGTTATATAAGAAAGTAATTGAAGAATAAATACAAGAATAAATAAATACAATACAGTATAAAAAATAAATTGTAGTAAACTCTAGAAGGTTAAGCCCAAGAGATACTATATAAGGAATGTTTAGACAGCAAAGACTAAGATTAATGGAAAATTGCTCTACAAAGGAAACGGATGCTTGATATAAAAGAGATAAACGCAATTGAACTGAAATGTATTCCATGAAATAAAAAAAAAATATTAAGATATTTAATCGTAATTAAAAAAAATATTTAAAATGCAGATAATTAAAAAAATAAATTAAAAATCTGAAGGAAACCGTTTTCAATTAAAAGCAGAATTATATTTTTTTATACTACTGAGGTGGCAAACAAACAAAGGGCCCACCTGATGCTAAGCGGTTACCGTAGCCTATGAACGCCTGCAATACCAGGGCTATTACGCGCGCGTTGCCGACCCTGAAGAAACCTCCTTACTCCCCTTTTGAAGAACCCCATGCTGTAGTATCTTGGAAAAACCTCGGTAGGTGTAATAATAATATAATAAATCATAAATATTATATTTTATTAAGTTTCTTAAAAATAATTAAAACAGTATTGACACCTACGCTTGGTTTTTACGATGTGGAATTACAATTACAACATTATTTATCTAATGGGATTTTTCGAATTTTCAGTTCATCCTTAAAATAGGAATTATCCTATTAACAAAGATTTTGTTATTGTAGCTGGAAGATGTAAGCGCATTTCTGAAACGAAAAACAGGTTTTCAACTTCGTCCTGTCGCTGGATATTTGTCACCAAGAGATTTTCTCTCAGGACTGGCTTTCCGGGTGTTTCACTGTACTCAATATATTCGACATTCTTCTGATCCATTTTACACTCCTGAACCGTGAGTAACCATTTGAAAGATGATGTCTAAAAATCTCACAAATAATTTAAATATATTTCAATTTTTACACAAAGTGCTTTTATATTTATTTTACTGTATCCGAGTGCTTTTTAGATATATAATAAATTACAATAAAAGATTTCTTCACTCATATTTACTTTTTTCAATTGATTGGACGTTATGTTTAATAATATATATTCATTTCTTCTTGTCAGTGATTGCTGCCACGAACTGCTGGGTCATATGCCGTTGCTGGCTAATCCAAGTTTTGCACAATTTTCTCAAGAACTCGGCTTAGCTTCATTGGGGGCTACTGATGAAGATATCGATAAATTGGCTACGGTATGTTTTTAAAATAAAAGCAAATGAGTACATTACAGAAAAAAGAAAAAAGATTATCTACTATAAATTATTAATCTTGATAAAATATAGTTTATTAAATTTATTTTATATGTTATTTATTCTGTATTTTAATCTGTTTCTTATTTTAATGTTATGTTTTAAGTAAAGTTGAATTTCTATTTTTAAAGTATTTGGAAAAAAATTGACACATATTAACTAAACATAAGTAAAATTGAAAGAAATACTCAATAATGAAATAACAGTTATAAAATATCTGTTAAATGATAACAAAAAGAAACATTCTTTACAGCTGTACTTCTTCACTGTAGAATTTGGTTTGTGTCGTCAAGTAGACGGTTCGTTCAGAGTTTATGGAGCTGGCTTGCTTTCTTCAGTGGCTGAACTTCAACATGCTCTTTGCACACCTGACAAGATTAAACGTTTCGATCCTGATATCACCGTTAATGAAGAATGCATTATCACTTCTTATCAAAACGCTTATTATTATACTGATTCCTTTGAAGAAGCTAAAGAGAAAATGAGGTAAGTACAATTTTTTATGGCCTAAATAGTTTTTGTCCACGATTTCATTCGTGTGATCAAATTAGATTTTTTTTATTATTACAAAGTTTTTTAAATATACTATCGGGACTTAATGCGATGAATAATTTTTGTAAGTAAATAGTATTTACACCGCAATCATCAGGATAGGACGTGATGCAAAAAAAAAAAGAAAGAACGCTACTTAAAAAGTAGTCTATGTTCTTTTCCATCCTTTATAATATGTATATATCAAATTCCATTACAATTGGCCAAGCCGTTTAAGTGCCAAGAAATAACAAATTCACTTTTAAGCTTTTAAAATTACTAATATTATAAGAATCTAACATATCATCTGGTAAAGATTTTGAATAAAAGATGTATTTATTATTTCAGGGCATTCGCTGAGAGTATACAGCGTCCGTTTGGTGTTCGTTACAACCCTTATACTCAAAGCGTAGAAGTTCTGAGCAACGCTCAGAAGATAACAGCATTAGTACGCGAGCTGAGAGGAGATATTTGTATCGTATCGTCTGCTATTAAGAAGATTTCTGCTCAAGATTCCACGCTCGATGTAGAAACAATTGCCAACATGCTGCATACCGGATTACAGGTGATCTGTTTACAATGTGTGGTAATATATTGACAGTAAAACTCTATTTATAGCATCCAATAACTAGATTGTCGGTGACGGAGTAAGAATACGATGTGTTAATACTCATTTTAATCTCTGGGTCGTAGTAAATTTCGATTAAAGAACTCCAGTAAAATAAAGCAGTACAGGAAAATGAAAACACGAAATAACTCTATACCAAACCGCTCGGCCTGTATGATAGTACTAGGCTTATATCCTTTTCTTATAGAGAGAAATCTAGCGGAATATTAATGTTATAATATATAATAAAACAGAATCTTTATAATTTAGTATTACCTGTTTGGCACAAACAACACATTCCTTATAATATTCTACAGAAAGATGTAGAATTTTAGAATAGGTACTTTAATAAAAAGAAAAATTTTTAATAACATTTAAAAAAATTAGGATACAAAATTTATGTACATTGTACTATTAAATTTGTTTGCGGAGCTTTGTGAAAACATAATAATTACGCATGTTAAAGCAGAGTAATTCTTCAAAGAGTTTATTCATGTTTGCTCATATAATATTTACTGAAAAGTTTCGACATCAAAGATAAAAGAGCCTACCTACTTATTATTTTTCCGATTATACGTATTTTCATATTTTGACTATTTTTACTGATCTCTATCTACTGTTTACAAATTGAACGGTTGGTATGGTATGGATCAGAAACGGTAAACGATTTGGTTTTGTAATAGTTATTTTTAGTGATATCGTATCTTTACGTTAGTTTCTTTACAGGATGTCTGTTATCTTTATACATACATATAACATATCTATCCCGCATGTATCCCACATTGGAGTAAACAAAAACAATGGAACGTTAAGTGCTCTAATTTAAAAAGACTTCTTTCGCTTCCACCACATTCATCAAAGTATTCATACATTTAATATTATGCTTGTCTATTATGGGTACTTTTAATTTAGCCTTCAGCATATTGCCTATGTAGTTGACATATGCCCACCTAGGGCGATCCCTACCAACAACCCCATTCATTTGTACTCGATAAATTTTTTTCGTAATTCTTCTTTCATGTAATCTCTCTAAATACGAGTATGTTTGGACGAGTGGCCAAACGTAAACTGGCATAAAAATCTTAAAAGATCAACTATTTAGTGAGGCTATTATATTATCAAGTGGATGTACTCAAGACAATCAAATCTTTTCCCAGCTGTCATTCATAATGCCACACAATAGACACGGCATTTACTTCAACTCAACGAAGTGTCTCCCATTCACCACAATCTCCTCGAAGCAATTTCTTGCTCAATGAGCTTTTGCTGGCGTCTGGCCCGCAATTCTTCATTACTAATTGTATTTAGTTGAAGACAAAATGAACTTAAGATGTTTGTTGACAAACACAAATGTAGGTCATTAATCCCTTCGTCACTATTTACTAGTAGCTGAAAGCTAACGATTAATTATACCTCAATAATAATTAATTACAATCACAATATGTAAAACGTATCTTAAATAAACAAATTAACATAGTTGGATGATATAAATTATATTTTAAAATAAATCGCCTGCATCTATATTACAACCTATTTGTCTTTCACTACAGTATACTATGCGTGTACTATCGTATGGTCCCGACATGGGGCATCCCTTCAGTTCTTATGATTGTCATAAGAAGAACTTAATGTACGAGGGATCGGCAGCAGCGTCCCTCTTAAGGCATTACCAAAGCTTAACTGCGGTTGCCAATTCGCTTGCCAAACATGGCAACTACTGGCAAAACCCCCCTTATAAGGGAGAAGTCTTTATTCAGCAATGGATAGTGCTTGATATGATGACTTTTTGAGGATTCAGATGGAGAGACCTCCATCTCGTGGGGGGTAGTCACTCGAGAAACTTTCTTCCACATCGGTTGTCGGCGGTATTTGCGGCATTCCATTTCATCTCATAAATTCTTTGGACTATATCGGCCACTTTACTTTCTTTGCTCTAGATATTTACGCTCTAGATTTTATCATGCAGTAAAACTTCCTCTTCATAGTTCTTTTAGTGCGTTGAGCGTCTTTATATATGTCATGAACATTAGGCATTAAAATGTATACATATAGTGATTTAGTCATAAATTGTTTTTATGACTAAATCACTATATGTATACATTTATACTTATATAAACATGTAGTAAATAGAATATGTAAGTACAACTAAATCCAACATGTCACGGAAGAGGAAAATGCCATCGCAAAACAAAATATTTATCTTTTGTCTAACAATATCGCAATAGAGAAAAATCGCTTCTTAATGCCTTTGTTACAACTCCAAAGCTTTTCGATAGGCTTGTCCGGGAGCCGCATTGCGGAATTTCATATTATTTCCGTTTGTACGTTCAAAAGTAATTGATTTGTTCGTATCGTAAGCCGCTAGAGAAACTGTCATCAGTTTAGAGTGACGTGAATAAGAAAATAAACAGCAACAGTATATAGTTTCATAGTCGGACATAGTACACCTGCTCTGAAAATAGAAGGCACGTTGATGTATTTAAAGTATGTTTAAAACAGACTCCTATAAATTAGTCATAAAAATATTTAATAATTTACACTTGCGGCACGAACCTGTATAGTATACTTATAACAAAGAGGCTTGGAGAATTGAGTTACATATTCTTAAAATAAATAGGTAGCTATAGTCATTTCTATACATTTTCCTCAATAACCCGTATAAAATTCGGCGTAGATGCAGAAATAGAGCACCATTGGGATCACAATTATTTGCATTATTTTAGGTACTTTAAAGGAATCCGTACACTGTCTAATATTTATTATATTTTGTTTTGCACTCTTTGTACGCTGACTATGATAATATATTCTTAAAATTTATGTCATGCTATAAAGTGTAAAAAGGTCTATTAACATTATATGATATGTCTTATATTAAGGTTATTTATTAGTAGTATTATGCCGTAAGAATGGTTATGATCGAAACATCATAAACATCATTCGCTTTAAATTTATTTTTGGTTTCATTTGAGATATGATTCTCATTTCCACTTTACATAATCTTTATAAATGTCATGTCGATATATTCAATATTTATAGAGTTCAAAGTCATTGTAGAGATAAAACATTATATTATTCTGTAAAATCTATTAGAAACTAAAATTCGAAAAACTACATTCATAATATAAAAAATAGGTATTGATTTTTTCGGATATAATTTCGTTAATAACTGCCGTCAGACAGTTATCAATAAAAGACTTGTTTATTATCTTTAATAATTTATGAAATTTTCCTATCGATAATTACAATAGTTTTTGATCGATGTTTGTTTTAAATTACTATGAGGTAGTTTTGGACGATTCGACTGAATGCATGTTTCCAAATACTGTATTTTTTATATATATGTATAAAGGGAATTTTATGAACTTACTATGTTTGTCGTTTTTGACAATCGTTTTGATTTCATTCGAAAATCTTTTTTAGGGGAGTACGGTGTTTTACGTCACAATGTTTCGTTAGTACTTCGGGCTGCAGCTCGCAGAGTTCGTAAGTTCATAAAATTCCCGTTATGCATATATATAAAGACATCTTTAAAAAATGAACATATATTTACAAAATAAAATGCTGTATTCATAACTAATTGAAAACACTTTAACATTTGCACCTTCCTGCCTCCATTGACATTATTTACTCTATATTAGTAAATTTTTTACTGAAATGGCATCAGTTTTGATAATTAACTGCCAAAGTTAGACATTGTTTACTTAAAAATTAACCAGAACGTATCATGCTTGAAAGAATTCATCTATTATAGTCTTACTTATAACTGATACTAGCTGTTTCTTGTGACTTTTCTTGTATATTTAACCTGTATACTTTAATTTTTTACCTGTATACTTAACATTCATAATGGTAAGTGTTAATAAGTAACACATTTTTGCAAACTTTTACATTATCAAGTATAACCATGATATTCGTAATATTATTATAACTGTGCTGATACGATAGTTGATACAAATTCGCTGCCTGACTTATATTTACCTCCACTTAATCTACCAGCACCATGAATTAATAGCTATATATTTTTTTTGTGTTTTTAAAACAGAAAATATATAGTAATAATAGAGTAATCTCAGAAATATACACATTTGAGGCTTACCATGCATATCATGTAAGCTATGATTACCACGTCCCACTAAGTGGAAGGTTACCCTTATTTTCCTGTAGCGAAAAAACATTTTAGGCGTAACCATTTCATTTGTTTTCACATTTTCGTTTCATTCTTTAATACCGTTGTTTTTATAAAAGCAATTTCCTGTTATATAAATATTCTTTTTAATGTTTAAGGTAAACGAAAGGAGCCCGCAGAGTACTTCGGGTAACAGTTCCCCGAATTCGGAAAGAGGCGTTTCACCTAAGCCTGAAATGACTAAGTAAATACCTATCATAACCTGATTAATCGGCATGAAATTAATATTACTCATAATTCTTATCTATATAATCTATGGATGTTGTTATGTATTTAATATGATTTCTTCAATATTAATTCTGTATAGTCGAATAAATAAATTACGACTCTAAAATTTAACGCTGTTGAATTATCAGACGAGAAAGAGATATATTTTTAGAGTTCAGGCTATCTAGCATACTTCAATTTTTCTGTAGTTTTTCTCACCTCGTAAATCATTGACTTGGATAACTCTCTTTCTTCTCTGTGTTCTATGTGTATATTGGTAGTTTAATTACAAAATATGAGATTTAACAATCCGATCGTTTCAAACTGTAAATGTTTGGAAGATAAAAATCTCTAAGAAATAAAGTAAAAAAGAGAAAAAAAAATACATAATTATAGCAAGCAATGTGTATTATTTTACTAACCATATATTCCCTATGTATAACAACACCCTTAATACTTTAAAAGATTACCAACATTATTATATTGTTGGTATGTAGATTATTAGTAAAAGATTATTAATATATAAACTCGTAAAGAAAATGTTGCTCTTCCCTAAAGCTCTCTCTGTGGAAGAGCATCATTAAATAAAAATATACAATGGATATTTTTTAATGATTGATAATGGAATAGTAAGTTGGCCTACATCATGGGTATAGGTTCGTGAGGTATGAGTGAGAGATGATAGGTCAAGATAAAAGCAAGTCAAGTAGCCCGTGTTGATGAATTCAACAAAGATTATTTATATATCATGATGGATTTCTAGGGAGAGCCATGTTGGGTTATTAGGAAGAACTGCGAGAAGATAAAGGTGTATTATTAGTAATGAAGCTGATTAATTTCATTATAAATATCTCCCCCTTATAGGCGATGGCCACCACCTTTCAATATCCAGACAGACGGTTTTATTGTAATTTCGACTTTCATAAAAAACACTGAAGTTTGTCCAATAAGGTAAGGACAAGTCACTGATCCTTCTATCCGTACAAACTAGTTCTGCATTGATCGGTTGACTTGACGATGTTTGGTACCACTTCTTCTTTTGTTATTGATTATTATTTATTATATTAATATTTAAAAAAAAATCCATCTAATATAAAATCTATTACAATCGTAACAAAATTAAATTGTGTTCAATAAGAAATAAATTAAATAGACTCTAAACAAATTCATTAAGATCCGTACTAATATATATCTGGATTTGAGTTTATTTGTTACTTATAGCACCTTAACGATCAATCAATCAATATGCAATTTGATATACGTATTCTATATGGGTTGGTGAAGGATATAGGATATATAGTTTTTATCCCAGTCAGTAAACATATTCCGGTCACGCGGACAAAATCACGGATATTACTTTGTAGGTTCATAATTAACAAAAATATTATGTAATACATAGACATAAATATACACACAAAAGTTAGAGTTGGGTCATTATTGAATTGGGCTGTCAAAATAACATTAAAATAGCAACTGTGTGTTGTCAAAATAATATATATATTTTAAGACGTTTCAGCAATCCTCGACGGTACATCATGGAACTGATCATGACCTATAAAACATTTTAAAATTTATATTTCTCACTGTACGAGAATTATAAATGGCGTTGGCTTATACTCAAATGTGTTTATAAAAAGCCATTTTGAATTTCATTCAAAAGGTAAAGTAGATAAAATTTAATAATTTAATTCTTTGGCTTTACTCGTGTTAAAAGGGTTAAGAAAGCATTCTGTGTTAATTTAGGGCATGGTCTATTGATGTAGCAAATTTTGTTTTGATTTTACCAAAAGAATATAATATATATTTTATTACCCTAAAAATACTAACACTTTATTAATGAAAAACCAACAGTATGAAATTTTAAGAAAGTTGTGGAGTAATATATGAATTAAATTAAATTCATAGCAATTTATAGATCTCAATCGAAAATTTGTTAGTAAGAAGAAGAAATCGATAGTCTTATAACATTAAATAAACAATTTCTGGATCGATTCCAGCATTTTAATATATTATGTAAATTATACGCAAGAGAAAAATAAGCAGGCCATCAGAGCAATTCGATTGCTATATAACGATCAGAATTATCAATCGATACTTAATTTAAATGTGCTGATGTTTTAGATTAGTTTAGGCAGAATGCCAAATTACAATATTGACCATATTTTTTTTTATAAATAAAGTAATGTATCTACTTCAAATGGGGCCACACTTGTAGAGTTTGGATAAATTAAGATGAAATGCAGATAAAATTTATAAATATACGGCAGTAGCTCGATGTTGTTGCCCAACCGAATCTGCTTGTATATGTGCAACACGGAAGATAGTACCATTGCACGCATATTGAATCGCGAGTCCTTGGCAGTGCTTCTTGAATTTAATTATAACTACTTACGTATCTGTCAAAATCGTATGAAAGTTGGCAAGTGAGCGACAAGAGTAGAGACAAAATTAGCTTTTAACATTGAAAATGTAGATGTCACATGTTTGGGTATTTCTGAATTAGCCCAGTTAAAGCTACAATTTGGGAGTATTATAATTTATAGGCCATTAGTGTTGCCGCAAGACATTTACGACCTATTTCTATGGTATATTGCATTGATAAATTAGTACTGTATACTTTTTTGTTTTCTATGCAACTTGTAAGTACAAATAGATAAATAAAAAGTGATAACTATCGTCTAAAGATACGTCTATGATCTTTTAAATAAATGTTAAGTAAAATAATATACATAAATCTCTGTAAAAGTAACACTGCCTTTACTGCCTTAATTCGACTTCAGTCACAAACAAAACCATGCCAGCCCAGTTGCTTCACGATAATAATACTAAAGGGACAAATTTACCAGTGTTTGTAGGCGTCTTTTGTTCAAAGACTCTCACTGGTATTAGGCACTTAATTGTATCCAATGAACATTGATCTGATCGTCTTGTTTTTCCCACTCGCAGAAAGGTACCATTTAGGTACCGACAATTGTCTTGTATATTTAACTATATTTTAACAGCTTTATAACTAAATAAATACAGTTCAAGTTAAATATATTATCAACATTTAACATATAATAAGTTAAGAGGACCCGGACGACATTTATTAGAATTTTCATCACGTAGCATACTAATATATGTACGTAACTAATTAAACTGTGTAATATTGTCCAAAAATAGGTCAGTAGGACATTGCAGAGGCTGGGAGCACCTCGGATCTTAACAGGGATGTAACAAGTCGTATTCCCTAATAATCCCTTAACGAAGTATGTGTAAAAAAGTAACGTTGCGCAAAGTTTGTTTTAGTAACAGTTTAGCATGGAATGACTAAGATGGCATGTCGTTATCCAGTGGGTATGCCCAGAGCAGCGGCAGTCGCGTTGGGCATCCGTAGCGTCGCCACGCCGCCGCCGTCTCTTGCCGCCCTCCTACATAAATCGATATTATCGTACCGCCGCATGTACATATTTTTATAGCCACATATAAATATTAAATGGCCGTTTAAAATATATCACATTATTCAATTAATTCATTTTAATTTCTCAGAGTCCATGCTTAAGATCTGCCGCGTGACAGTTCGCCGACGGTGTAAACAATAGAACCGATAACCGAAAGTATCAGCTGATTCGTATGAACAGCTGATTGTTCTCAATAACTTACATACGTATTCGGTCAATTTCAGAGTAGCACCATTTAAATTTTAGTGTCTAATCGAGTGAACCTCCAGATCGAGACCATGCTGGTGATACTGTAAATATAACATCAAGGCGGCTAGATGGCGTGTACGTATGGTATTCGCGTCGCTAATAGATTGTGTGAAATATGCCCACGATCTGATCGTATAAGCGTGCGGGTACACGAAGGCCGCAGTTTGCGTCGACGCAGCGTCGCAGCGGGGAAGTTGGCAAGCGGCGTGGGCGCGTCATCCGTGATGCTCACAACGCGTCTGTTGTCCGCACCGGTAGTACAACCTTGCTCTCTCTGAGGACATGCCCTTATTATGGATTACCAATGCATCGTCGTGTATACGGTCATCAACATCGCCCCGCCGAAGCTCACAGCGACAGAATTTTCGAATGGATGCATCACTTGGTTCAAAAATAAAATTAAGCGGTTAGTACTTCATAATTTATTAATTTTATTAAAGAATTTATGAGTATTCTAATTAATTATATATTTATTCGTATATTTTTTTTATATAAATATTATTATTACATTATTAAATATATTTTAATTGAAACAATGATATTTTTTTGATTATATCCCTAGGTCACGGTTATCATTTATTATGAGGTAGGCCATCATCTTGTTGGCTGTTCCCATCAAACGTATCCTAATAAAAATAACCCCTATATTTAATAGAATGCGTTCAGAATATGTATAGCCTATATTTATGTTAAAGATTTTACTTTAACAAAATAACTTTGATTTTTTGCAAAAATCTAGGTCTCTTATTATATATTACTAACAAATCCAAAATTTAAGTAAAAAAATTCAATTTTTGCAGGTATTTATTTTGATTATTTCACATTAAATGCTACAAAAAAAAAATAGTATAAAAATATAAAATTTAGGACTTAGAAAAACGCGGCTGCAATTATTCCAAACAATATAATCTGAATTGTATAAATATACTTCTTCAGATAAGTAGTTATGTAAATCAGCACAAGAAATAAAATAGAACACTATGTGAATAGTAATAAAATAATATCATACTTAAGTAATATAGTAATAATATAAAATTACAAAAAATTAATTGAGAATTGCGATTGTATTTCTCTACATACGTTTATAAGTTCTTAGTTTATAAGTAGTAACAAAAAAAAAAAAAACAATAAACAAATTACTCTATTAAAAGATTCTTTTTATACCACTGAGGTGGCAAACAAGCATACGGCCTACCTGATGACCTGTATTTGTTGGTATATTATCTAAATATAGTATTAAAAAATGTTATACTACGAGTGATTAAATAATATTATGGACAAATAAGAAAAAAATAGAAATATTAATATTAATGTGAATGTTCGGAAATCATAGCTATAAATAATTAATTATAACAAATATATAATTAATTAGAGAGCTTGCTGAATGTTTCGTTTACGTAATGTAATTAATGTAAAAGCAAGCTGTGTGGAAAATTATCGGTACGATGCCATTTTAATTAAATCTATTTAGAAAATTATAGTTAAACTAGATTATGTGCTTACTATGATATCTTTCACAGTGGATATATCCATATAAATATTGATCACTTTGGCTCAGATTCAACCGTGATGATTTTGATTCTCTGTGAAAGACACCATTATGTTACAATATTGGCTTATTATGTTGAGAGTGATCTAAGTGCTCTATTATGTCAATAATAGAGAAATAATGTATCTATATCTACTTGTGCTATTGTAGATTGTTATGTAAAACAGAACTATCAATTTCTGCAATTTATTAACATTATTAATTACACACTAACTCATCAATGTTCACAAACTTTCATATATATGAGTATATTAAATTATAAGCAATTACTATTTGGATAAAATATTTATTTATGTTTATCAATGTGTAAAAAAATTAGTTTATTCAGAATAAATGTTATTAACATTACATCTGAATCTATCGTCTTCTACTGGTATATTTAAAGTTGTTTAGTTAGGGTCATTACACTCTTTTTGATTGGCTGTTAGGAACTTTTCCCCATTAGTTTTGAGTGTATTAACACTTGTCTAAGTTGATATTACGGCCTTTATTAATAGAACTAAATGATTTTGCACGTGATACTATTATATATATCTTGTAAGTTTGCATTATTTAAATATGATTATTCGATTTGAATTTGGATGTCCAGTTCGTTGCCACTTTTTTTTCTTGTAACTTTTATTATTAAGAGTATATTTTATATTATTAACATACAAAGAAAGTATAATAACAATATATTTTACACCTACAAATTACTACGTGCATAATATTAAAAACTTAATATATATATATATATATATATATATATATATATTATAATTATGTTGTTTATAATATGCAATGTAATAATACGTGTAACTATTTTTACAGTGCGGTAGCAGTATACCTTCAATCATTAAAAGTTACATCTAACAATGGCATTATACATGGAAACCTAGCTTGCCTATACTACAAACAAGGCTTATTAGATTTAGCTATAGATACATACAAACATGCTATAGAACTACAGCCTAATTTCCCAGATGCCTACTGCAATCTAGCTAATGCACTCAAAGAGAAAGGCCTTGTATCCGAAGCCGAGGAGTGCTATAATAAAGCACTACGCTTATGTCCGTCCCATGTTGATACTCTCAATAATCTCGGTAACGTAAAAAGGGAACAAGGAAAAATCGAAGAGGCTACAACATTATATATGAAAGCTTTAGAAGTGTTCCCCAATTTCGCAGCAACTCACAGTAATTTAGCATCGCTTTTGCAACATCAAGGTTTGTAAAATATATTTCAGATTCTGTTTACACGTATTACAATTTCAGATGACAAATATTTAAATATCTTTGATTTGTTATTGATTTTGTTTTTAAATTATAATAGGGTTGGTTTTTAAATTTAGGTATATCCTTATTTTTAAACATTAAGTACATTTTTCATAAGTAAGATTATTAGCATACAATTACAATTCTACTAATAAACATTGGTTTGTAATTATAACAATTAGCGACTAGAAATTGCTAATTACAGGTACTACTTATTCCTATTTAACGAGTAGCTAAAATGTTTAATGTAAACAAACATTGCGGGCAATGAGTAACCTATTTGAAAATTTATAAGCTAATTTCAGTTTTACAATCTTTATAACATTACAATTACAGGGAAACTCCACGAAGCGTTGATGCATTACAGACAAGCTATAAATATTCAGCCAAAGTTCGCAGACGCTTACAGTAATATGGGAAACACTTTTAGAGAATTACAAGACATCACTGGAGCTCTTGTTTGTTTTAAAAAGGCTATTGAAATAAACCCATCATTTGCCGATGCCCATTGCAATCTGGCCAGTATCTATAAGGATATGGGAAATATTACTGAAGCTATAGAATTTTACAAAAATGCATTGCGATATAAACCAGACTTTCCTGACGCATACTGTAATTTAGTTCATTGTTTACAAATTATATGTGATTGGGATGATTATCATGAAAGAATGTGTAACATTGTTATGATAGTAACAGACCAACTGAAAAGTGAAAAATTAACTTCAGTACACCCACATCATTCTATACTCTACCCTTTACCGAACAAAGTGAGAAAGGAAATTGCAATACGACATGCTAATTTGTATTCTGAGAAGGTTAGAATGTTGACAAAAGTTGTTTTCAATCACAACTGCAAATCGATTGATCGAATACGCATTGGTTACGTTAGTAGTGATTTTGGTAATCACCCTACATCGCATTTGATGCAATCTATTCCAGGATTGCATGATCACTCCAAAATAGAAGTATATTGTTATGCTTTAAATCCAAACGATGGAACCACATTCCGTAGTAAAATAATAAAAGAAGCTGAACATTTTATTGATTTATCTAAGATTACTTGTAATATTGAAGCGGCTAGAAAAATATATTATGATGGAATACATATTTTAGTTAATATGAATGGGTATACGAAAGGTGCGAGAAATGAAATTTTTGCTTTGAAGCCAGCGCCTGTGCAGGTCATGTGGCTTGGATATCCAGGTACTAGTGGTGCAGATTATATGGATTATATCATAACTGATGAAATATCTTCTCCTTTATCTTCAACGTGCGACTTTAGTGAAAAACTTGCATTTATGCCTCACACCTATTTTATTGGTGATCATAGACAAATGTTTCCACATTTGAAGAATCAGTACAAAGTTAAAACTAATATTGAAACTAAAAATGAGGTTAATGATGCTATTATTAACTCATCGGAAAATGTTGATATTGAAAATACTTTTAAAGTAGATAAATATATAGAAACTATTAAATTTGAAAACTGTGAAAAAATAGAAATAACAAAAAGAATTATAGACATTCCGAACTACGTTACAGAAATAACGACAAATTCCAGGAGAGTTCAGGTATTACTAATTTTATTTTCAATAAATTTTCGCCCGCAACTTAATATGCCTAGGTTTTCAAAGTAGACAAATAAATTAAATAGATCACTTTTATACAATTTAAAACATGTACTAGATTTTAAATTTAACCTCCAGACAATTGTAAAATCACCTCTAATTTGGTCCGGTGATAAATGTAATGCCAGAATATAATTTTTATTTGTCAGACAGATAAAAATTCTAAAAGTTATTATTTTCGATTTTACTGTCTTCTTAAGGCCCTTTAATATATATATATATATTTCAAATATCTCCAATATTCAGATATCGTTTAGTAATTTACAATTTAATTATATTAGTGAGATAACGTAATATACTTATATAATAGTAAGATAAGATTGGTATCATCTACATATTACACTGTTAATTGATATTACTGATATACAAATCATCAATAAGCAATATATATATATATATATATATATATATTACTGAACTACGTGTTACTTTACGTGCATGGACTGAATAGCAATCGGAGGTTGATGACTAATATGGAAGGTTGTAGAACTTCTATTAACAATAGTAATAGTCATTCATCGAATTTTGGCAGTCGAAGGCATACTAATGGTAGCAGAATTAAACAAAATAGCGTAACTGTTAATAAAAAATAAATAAATAACCATTAAGATACATGTTAATGGTTAGTTAGATTAGAACTATTTTGTTTAATTCTACTATCATTATGCGTGCCACTTAAATTACATCTGAAGTTATTGTAGCGATATGTTGTTTAACTATACTTTTTGTAATATATATAATATACTTTTGTTTTTTTTTTGTTTCAGGTCTTAGTGAGTGGAATACCTATAAATAATGGTATATCAATAAATTATACAAACAAAAAGGTAGCATCAGGCGAAGAAGCATTCAATGATATTATTTTCACTTCAAGAAAACAATACGGTCTTCCAAATGATGCTATTGTCTATTGTAATTTTAATCAATTATATAAAATAGATCCATTTGTAATGGAGACATGGATCCGTATTTTGAATCAAGTACCAAATAGTGTTTTATGGTTGTTGAGTTTTCCAGCTGCCGGAGAGCCAAATATACGCAATTATGCTCAGAACTTAGGTAAAAAATATAAGTGTAAAATTAGTAAATTTAGTAAAAATTTACAAAAAAAAAATCCTACATAACGAGAAATGAACATTAAATAAATAATAATATCATTAGCTGTATGGTCCCGGTATAGAGTAGGTCATCTCTTCCTTTACTGTAAATTTCATAAAAGGTGACTAAGGGCATGTAATAGTCGAGGAATGGGCAGCAGCATCCCTCTTAAAATATTACCAAAGCTTAACTGCGACCGCCAATCCGCCTACCAAACGTAGTAACTACTGGTAAAACCCATAAAGGGGGACATCTATATTCAGCAATGAACAGTTAATGGCTGTTATCATCATCATTATCAATGGTGTTATGCTACGTGACTGTTTTCAACCTTAATTTTTTTTTCAGAAAAAAATATTTAGTTTCTATACTGTATATATCGTTATACCTTATATAAGTTATGTTTTTTGTAATTAAAATTATTGATGATGTTTCTAACTATTCACGTTACAGGATTATCGCCAGATAGGATTGTGTTTTCCAAAATTGCATGTAAAGAAGAACACGTACGTAGGGGCCAATTAGCTGATATCTGTTTAGATACCCCTCTTTGTAATGGCCATACAACTGCTATGGATGTTTTATGGGCTGGTACTCCCGTTGTTACTCTACCTGGTGAAACATTAGCGTCTAGGTAAAATCATTTGAACATTTTGAAATATCATAAAAGTGGAAATAAATTTGTTTAAATCTACCATTTAGGGCTATGAAAGTATTTTTCGTGTAATTAATCCTTTCTTGTTTGTTTGAATCGAAGCATTTGGCGTTCCATTGTCTCTGCCTACCCTAATAGAAGACAAGCGTGACAGATATGTATGTATGTATGTATGTATAAATCCTTTCTTGCTTGCTGTGTAATCCCGCATGGAAAGAGTCCGTCCTTTTCCGTAGCTGTCGTAAGAGGTAACTAAAAGTATTTAATGATAGAGGGTAAGCGGCAGTATTTCTCTTAAAACGTCACCAAAAGCATAATTGTGCTTCCCAACCTGCCTGACAAGCGTGGCAACTACTGGTATAATTCCTTTTATGGGGAAGACCTATATTCATTGGATAATTAACGGCTGGTATGAATGAATATTATAAATGTGAAAGTGAATTTGTTTGTTTGTTATCTTATAGCATCTCAACGGCTTAACTAATCATTATGAAATTTAGTATACAGCTACTATATGGGTTATAAAAGGATATATGCTATTTTTTATTTGGCCAGTAAGTATGCATCCAGTAACACGGACGAAGTCGCAGGTAAAAGCTAGTAAGTAATATTGAAGAAACTACCAAGACAAATATAAGTAGACATATTCATGAAAATTGTGCGGAAATGTTGTTTTGCGTATGTTCAGCATAGTAATAATAGCCTAAAATCATTCTCTAATGGAAAGAGGCCCAAGTCTAACAATGGAATGATTAATAGGTTGCCAAAGTAAAAAAATAAAGGTTATCCTTTTATTAACAATGGTTAGTTTTTTTTAATAGGTATTTCGGATATCCCTCTTGTCATTTTTTTAACTGTCCTCATTAATTACAGAGTTGCAGCATCTCAATTAAAAACACTGGGTTGCTCGGAACTTATAGCAGGAAATAGACAAGACTACGAAAATATAGCTATTAAGCTTGGAACGAATACAGAATAGTAAGTTTTGCATTTAATAGTAGTATAAGAATAGTAAGTGCTGCATTGTGCCCTTTTTCTTTTTTTTTTTGTAATTTTTCACTGTTTTTATCAAAGACATGCTTTGATAAAAACAATGAAAAATAAAACAAAAGCATGCTAGATGATTATGGAAAAAAAAATCAAAGCTAGTTTTGTACATAACTTATTTTACTAATTTTTGTTACCAAACCTCTGCCCCTGTGTTTCAATTTAAAACATGAGATATAGCTGTATTATAGGATACTAAGACAAATTGCCGTGTGTTCCCGGCATAGACTGGACCACCCCTTCCTTTCTCGTGGGTGTCGTAAGAGGAGACTAAGGAAATTTAACGGCCGAGAGATGGACAGTATGATCCCTATTAAAATGCCACCAAAGCCTAACTGTGGCTTCCAATTTGCCTGCCAAGCGTGGCATCTAATGGTACGTCCCTTCAATAAGGTAGCCTATGTTCAGTAGTGGGTAGTTAATGGCTATTATGGTATATGGTAATGCCGTTTCAAGTGATCCTACTGATTATTAATAGATTCACAGTTTAATATTTTTATCAACAGTCGAAGATATATTAGGGCCAAAATTTCAAAAGCTCGCTTGGAAAGTACGCTGTTTGATTGTGAACATTACGTTCGAAATTTGGAAATATTGTACGAAAAAATGTGGTGTCGATACAAAAATGGAGAAAAACCTGACCATATAAAAGTTTCTTGAGGTCGGAACTAAATGAATAATTGTGAGTATGTGTTTTATTTAAGGATGATTTGTAGGATAATTTCAATGTGAAATTTCTGAATCAAACTGTTATAGAATTCTGTAGAAATGTTCCATTATGTCGATATTTGTAAAAGTATCTTCCTATTTACCAAAGAGAAACTTTGTACAAAAGTAGTTTGCTTGGGCCCCACTGTCCCATTTGTGTTTCTACCGTGAAACGGTTGTGTTTGCGTGGCTGTGTTTTTATTTGAAAGGTGCCATATGGTAGCATATAGCTGTCAATTTACAGGTTACAGAGGAATAACATTTGAGTCCTCTCATGGGAGGGGGTATCATGGGCGAAACAGTATGCTATGTACATGTTTATAGGCGACGGTTACCACTTTCTATCAAGTGGACCGTCAGCTTGTATGCCATATACGGAATTAATAAAAAATAATAGTTCTTCTAATTACAGCGACAATATTTTCTATTTCTATGTCTTTATCTGTATAACAATACTATCGCCATCGTAGAAAGTGGATATAGAAATATTGAATACAATTATGATAAAACAAAATTACTTTTTATTATTTAGGGCGTTCCAAGGGCCAAAAAATAGAAAGCTCACTTTTTTTGTTTTATTGTTATATATTAAATTTAATCAAAATGGGTTAATTATTACATTTTCGTTTATCATCATTTTAAATTAATTGTTGTTACATATAAATATTATTTCAGTTAAAGTAGATAAAACGCCAAAATATGTTGTTTTATTTTATAGAGAGTAGTCAGTTTATATAATATTTTTGTTGCAGATTCCTGAAGACTTTGACGAATCCATTATATCAACAGCTCTCCGTCCAAAAGCTGTCCATGAGAAATTGCTAGAATTAAACGATAAATGAATGTGGAATGTATGTTATAGTGTAATAATATAATAAAATATCATTTTATTGACAATTAAATTTACAATTGTGCATCCTGTTATTAAAATCTTATACACAATCATTTATACTTTTACTCTTTATACATTCTAAGCTGAAATACGAGCATAGGAATTATTGTGACTAATTATTATATAGGTCATCATATTTCAATATAGAATTTTGAGATCTTCAATAAATTGATAGATTTAATAAACACAATGGAGTTATTACGGGTAATTATTAGGATTAGGTGACCTAAATTAATGAATAAAAATGATACAAAAATGATATTGTTTACTTGAAAAATGATTTTATTTTTTCTTTTTCATTTTTACATTATTAATAGTAATCATTCATAAGTACACAAATAACTACAGTGTAGCTAATAATAATATAATATAAAACTGATTTCACGAAATATATTTTCGATAAGTTTACAACACTATTTTTTAAATATAATCGATAACATATTCCCTTAAAAATGAAATCATATTGACTCGGTTATGCTTATCTACATAATTATAAAGCGTATAATATGTTCACAGGCTATCTCCTTCGGGTCTCCTGCTATGGTCTATTGTATTGCTTCAATTTTTTTATATTTAGAATTCACTTTATTATCATATTTTATAGTGTACCTACTTCAACATCCATTAGTATGTTTTTCTTAACACAGCACGTCATGACTGTTAAATTTCTAGTATTTTTAAGGTCTCAATAAAAGTTTTTTCTTCATCAGATTAGTTGTTATTACTCTACATCGGATCTACTAATACACCGACCATATTATTCTATTTGTGTAAATTATCTATAACGCTACAATAATCCTATTATTTGGATTTAATTGGTGATTATTTTTGAGGTAACAAATTGGTTGTAAGCGCACGAAGTTACGAAATTGTTTATAATTTTATTATTAATGACAACGAATCCAAATATTATTTTTGAGCCATTTCTTTCAAGTATTATATTATTTTATTACTTACAAAACTAAGTATAAGGTTGTCGTGCTAATTTATTGAACAATTTGTGATCATTACTCAGACGACACTCCATTTTTGTTCTAAATGTTTAAAGTGAGCAATATGATTACTAATAATTATTACTTGGTAATGTTCCGTTGCGAATTTATGAGTGAATACGAATACGCTTGAAGTCATGACATTTATTTTTTAAGGAGGTTTTAGTGATATATGTGTGTTGGTGTTAGAATAAATGGGAGAGAAACACTAAATCTAATTACATATAAAATATTGATGCCGTCATATTGCCGTGAGATAGTTTATTAAGTGATAAATAGAAACATAATAAATTCTAATTTCATTACAACGTTCATACTACCATGATTGAAACACAGGGACGAAATAATAAATACATAGGTTTTAATAACTTTCATAATTAAAGGGTAATTTTAGAAAGGAGACGACATCATACTTTGGACAATAATTGTAATTAATACTCGTAATAATATTATATTTGAAATATCTTTAGAATAACAATCAAATCGCAGACACTCTTCCATTTGATGTAACTTAATGTTTAACAGTCATTTCTATATCTTCTAGTAATACATTCATAAAATTTTAGATGTATAGAATATTGCGTGAGGGTAGTCATATTTGGCTTAAAATATAATCACCCGAATAAGTTAAACTTATATAAATGTTAATTTATGTAATTAAGCTGTGTATGATTTATTAGGATTATAATCTTAAATTAATAGATGATTTTATATATATTTTTTAAATTTATTTAAGCACATTTAAATAAATTTGATGTAATGATCCGTATTAGATTTTACGACGAACTCATTAAAATTGACGATTTCAATACTTATATATTTAATAATATTGAATAATTTTTGACAAGGTACAATTAGAATTTTTATTGATGTACATAAATTTAAAAATATGTTTTATTTAATATTGAGCAAGAAAATAAAATTTCAGTGATAAAATTAGACACAGTAGTTGTATAATATATATAGTATATAAGAATTTTATACATTTATATTAAAGGATCTTTGGGTACTAGAAGTTATTTATTTATATAATGTTACATCTAAGAAAAGTGCTGTTTTAAAATGTATATATTTCATTCATTCTTTTCACAATGTTAAAACTGGTTTCTAGCGTTTATTTAGAAGATAAGTATTTTGTTACATTACTGTACAGAAATAAAATTATTTTCTGACTCTATTTACTTTTACCAAACTAATCTCGTACCTATAGTTATTATTCTGAACTATTATTTTTTACTTTTATTAGTCTGAGATAATAACTTTTAGTAATTAGTCTGATGCAATATTGGTGATATCCGGCAGTTATTTTTATACTGTCAATCTGTTGGCTTTTAAAGCTAAGTTTCAGACGACGATGCACTACTATTAATATAACGTGTGCGATGGTTTTGTTGTCATAAGTTGTCTAAGGCATCATTATAGTCGTGCACTTTTAATTTGTTTATGAGTATGTATGTATTTACTACTTATAAATTATTCTATTATTTCGACTTTAATTATAGTCAATAAATGCATACAATTACATAATACAAAACGCTTGTCTTGTTAAGAAGTAATGAATGTAAACTTTGTGACAATACATATATGTATAAAATCAAATCACACAAAGATACAAAGTAAGTTACTTATATAACATTTACTCATATGGATACAATTGGACTTAAAATCGTAGCCATATTTTTGTATTTATTGACGCCTTAATTTGGTGAGCATATTATTCAATATTAGAAAGTAAACGTCGGATTCATACATTACAACCCTATCCCTCTATCTTAACGGTGACATTTTAGTGGATGTGCATACTTAGAATGCCATTAATTGTCTAAGATATATTTCTTAGAGCTATTTGTCTCGTACTTAGTCACTAATCACTAGACAAATATTTTAGAATTTCGTTTCGGAGAGACGAAGCCGAGGCTGCGTCGTAGTATAACAACTACATTCAAACGCTCTACCAGCAAAACCTAAATCTTAATCTATCGATATTATCTAATAGATTAGAATATAATAATAAATTGCAATTAAATAAAAAGTGAATACACAGATTACGGAGTGCCTTTATATCTGAGTGCAATTTACTATAATTACATAAATTTAAAGTATTAATATATGTTACAATATTCGTTATAATAATTTAAGACATCTAAAATTTACACATCTAATTTCGTTTATCTCTAATATATTAATTACGGTTCCAATGTACATTAATTGTAATAAATAGTAGCTTTAGGCGTGAATCAGCTTAAGTTGATAATACCGAAAGACAGAATCAAGAGATTTGTAACATTCTAATAAAATTACATTTGCAAAATCAACAAATAAATATTTAAGACATGACAACAAGGAAAATCCTTCATTCATAGATACGGTTAATTCAATTAAATAATTAATAATTGAATGATTATTAAGTATTCACAAATGAGCATTGATAAAAGTCATTGGTAATTTTAATGTTCTTTTTATTATTGTTTTTTTTTTATACTTCATACAAAATCACTTATGTTCTAGTTGCTACATTTGAATAAAGGATAATTCTAAAGTCAAATAATTACCTATATAACAAAGGTTCCATAAGGCTGTACTTGTAAATTGTAACATTTTTATAAAATCTATCACTAAACGCTATTTTTTTTCTTCGGAATTTTAAATTAAAACGTCGTCGTATATTATATAGTAATTGTTTTCTTAAATTTATATCAATGGTATAATTAATTCTTTTTTGTTTGATTTCACGGCAGTGCTATATATATATAATATATGTATAGCATTCATTGCACCCAAGAGTCACTGACGATGTTAATTGTAAGTTAATTATTATTTTTTTTCCCAACCTTAAGAAACCCGCCATTCGCGAACTACATTTTGTTGGTCGTAGCTGAAGACAGGGAATCCTGCTTGTCAGATAACTGAGGGCAAGTGTTTGTTGTTAAAGAAGGAAAATTAATCCTTTACTCACAAATCTTGTGAGCGAATCACAATTAATGCGAGCTTTAGAATTACTTTCCCACTCTAACAACATCGTTCTAATGCTCAATATTATGCATCTCAACTACAAGACTTTCTTTAGAGAATACGAGCTAGCTAAAAAAGCTATTTTTTCTAAATCGAACTAATTTAGGAAAGCGCATTGCATGGTCTACGGTGCGGCTAGTCTATGTAAGATAGCAAATGTAGAAATGGTCAATGAATTCTATAAATTTATCTACAATAATTTTAAATGCAAGGCCATTGATCTGTTCTTTTTTTACTGTCATTAAAACCATATAGGTCTTAAATTGAGAACGTACGGCATAAGTGTTGAATAATAAATACTAGTATTCCTCTATTTGTCAACTATATATACAGATTAGTGTTTTATGTATTATGAGATAACGACATGCCATGTCATTGATAATGTTGAAGTAGTTTGCTTACTACTTTTTATCAAGAAAGTAATTTGTTTTAATTTAAAAAATAAGTAATCTTGTAGATAATAATAATAATATTATCCAATTCATTATTTCTGTTTAAATTGCTGCTATAATATAACAGCAAAACGTGCACAACCACAAATAACAGATCATTAATGCGGAGAAGAAGAAAGAAAGTGAATTAGTAGATTATAGGCATTTTGTTTTTTCCCAATCACATTAAATATTATAAACGTGCAGACGTCTAACTAAACTCGCAAAACATTATCTTAAATTAATGCATATGACTGCATGTAGGAATATGCTAAATGTAGGTAACTAATATACCTAATTTAAAATAATATGTCGAATATCCAATAAATTATTTCATTATTATGTTAATTTTATGTCGCATTCCACCAAACACGACTGTAAGGTTGTAAAAACGAATAAATTTTATTTCAAATATACAGAGTTTAGAATGATTTCTGTAGAGAGCTATATGTTCAATATTATATTAACTAAATGTGTTAAGTTTTCATTTAGAAAAATATTATATTATCACGTGTCTCATTTTATGGCAATGTTTTGTTTTCTATAATTTGTTATTGCTTATTTAGATGAACTAATATATCTATTTAAATCCAAATGCCAATAATAAAAGAATAAAGGAACATATTGTATTATTTTTATATAAAAACAGTTTGCAGTAATAAATTATCGTGGTTGATCTATACCATTAAAACAAACGTGATTATCACAATGATAACGAGAGTTATTATAATAGTTAGCCAAAGTCATCAAGTTTTTTTTTAACTATCTATATCGGTGTATTTTTACATAAGAATAATTTTAAACAAATAAATATTTTATTTAGATATTCAAGCTAATTAACTTCCCAAGATACTCAAATTACTCAAATCATTATTACAAAAATTGCTGGCATTCGTATTTATTTCTTTTATGTTATTTTTTGAGCATTTGAAATTTTTTAACCATTACAAATAAACACGCAAATCCACATTACAGCTACTTACTGTTACTATAGTGATTTTTTTTAGTAGTTTATTTGTTTATATTTAGACAAATTTTCAGAAAATTTCACCTTGACTAATTTATTTTAAGCATATTACGTACGTAAATATTTCTTTGTTTCGTGTTAGTAAACTGAAAGAGAAAATGTAGTGATTATGAATGTAACCTTACTAATTTAGTGGACTAGGCTTAATATAGGCTTAATCTATCTACTGCCATGGTGTTTCTATTATTAATAATTAAGGCATAATAGAGATGAGAAGAATGAATTGTAAGCTTTTTCTGATGTAAACATTGGATATTTATAATAAAGTTAGGAACATACATGCTGGAGGTTTAGAATTTTGACACTTCAACTTCGCGCATGCATGCCACTAGTGGATTTGATGCTATAATAAAAATAATATTACAAAACAGATTTGTAGCAATTCGTGAATATTTACCTGAATCACATTGTGTCGAGGAAACTTAATTAGCATACGAAATGTTGATTTCTGACATCGTAATTTTGTTTTAAATAATAATTGTTTGATTGAAATATTGTAAACGTACGAAATAAAGTATAATCCAATGTCCAGAACTCAGCATGCGTTTGTTGATGAAAAGCAAATTAGTCATAAAGACATTCATCAATTATTTTTACAAGTTACAAAACATAAAGCTACTGTATATAAATAAAAATTGTCCAGGGTTAATTGCAATGGTTAGCAACTACTGTTAAAATAAAATACCTAAGACTTTTAATCACAACAATAGAATTAGCAAAGAATAAACAAATCACATTTTATTAACAAATACAAAAATTCTACAAAAGTAATTCTATTACTTCAAGCAGAGTAAGTTGAGCATCAGATTATCTATTAAGAATAAATCCACTCATTTTTCTACACAAATAATAATTTGAAACTTATTTTGTTCTCTTGCAATTTTTAATCAAATTTAAAATACAAAACACATAACTTACGTAAGTCTAAGTAAAGACATACCTACTCAAAACAATATAATGGCAATTGGACACTTCAAGTTCGATTTCATTTTACGAAACAGCTACCTATCTATCAGCTATCATATTGAAAGCTAATATTTACAAGTGGTTAGATCATCAAGAACTGGGAGTTAAGTGAAGAAACTACCACCTAATTATATTCGCCATTTAATAAAAACAAATATTTATCTCCATTTTAAAAATGATAAAAAACATCAGTCGTTTTGTTTTCTACTTCAGACTCCAAGAAAATATTTAGTCTCAATTTAAATTAAGACACCCGTAATATACTCGTATCTTTCAAATCTATAATATTTACATTTCTATTATGTTACATTTCATATTTATAAAGTTAACATCTAGGCATTACGGTTAATATCTACAAATTCATTCCGAAATATAATGTAGGTATCACTACGTCACCTACACAGTAAAAGTAATGCTACTGCTGACTAAATAGATTTCAACATGTTGTTGAGTATATTTTAAGTGATTCCATAATCTGTTTCAAATTATTATTTAAATATTTTTGGTGAGAAAATAAGTGGATTCTATAAAGCGCCCTCTATTTATCTTCTTCCAGAAGAACCAGATCGTCAGCCACTACGTCGGATACGTGCAGGTAGATGATCCAGTACATGAGATTGAAGCAGATGAAGCAAACGGGGAACACGACGCGCGAATACTTGTCGATGTCCGAAGGCGTCATACCCAGAAGTTTGCTTATGTCCTGAAAGTTTAATGAATACATTGTTTAATTTTATTGATAGCATTCAACAATTTTAATTTTTACATATAGAAATAGAAACATCGCCAGGAGCTGTTACATAAACATTATGTTCACTACAGTTCTTATTCGCTCAGCATAGGATAAATCGCAAGCAATTTATTCGCTAGGTACTTAATTTTAATATCAAATATACAATCAGTGTGTTTAAAATTACCTTTCCAGGGTGAAGAATATGAGGAGGAGGACCAGGATTTTCTTCTTCTGCTCCACCTCGTCCACCATTTATTGTATTTTCCAGAGTTCCTCCTTTTGAATGTGCTTTCGGGTCGTGAACTTTGAAGCGGACCTCCTGTAAGTATCGGTTTGGAAACTCAAGTCTTATAAATGGGATAAAAATATTTCATTGCAGTATATAGATAGCAAAAGCATTTACCGAACAGCTTACCGAAGACCTTCCTGGAGGACATCGTCCCAAAGTACTCATTTTAGAGAGTGTGTGTGGGTCTCCTACAGGAGGGCAATCTACTGGCAGTTTCTTTTCGGACGCTATTTTTTGTATAGCCACAAATCTTTGTTTCCTCATTTGTATCCTTTTGGCCATATAACCCACCGTAGCATATTCTGTAAAGAAAGAAAAATATTGTCCATAACAAACACCTTTAATCTGTGTGTTATTAATTTACAGTTACAAAATCATATAAATTGCCATCGCCTAGCTTTGTCTTATAAGCATGGTTCAAATAATAAACACACAGGTAAATATTTCGCTAAAGCATAAGTCAAAATCGCTGAGCTGACGTATATGTAAATAAATATATATTACCTAATAAACTGGCGAAGACCATGACGAAACAGGTTCCCAAATATACGTCAATAGATTTGACGTACGAAATCTTGGGTAAAGCAGCATTGGTAGACGACATGAGAGTTGTCATCGTCAATACAGTAGTGACTCCCAAAGCCACACGAGCAGGTGTTGCGTTTCGATTTAACCAAAATGACACCCATGATATAATCACAATTAGACCGGAAGGAATGTATATTTGGATAAGGTAATATCCCATAGAACGGACAAATTGAATTTCACATGCCAGCCTTGAGTAATTACCTGTAAATAGATTCAATACAAAATTAAAGTTATTGATTATATGGTTACTATTATATGCAGGTCTTTGGAAACCTGGATTAATATTATTATTTAATTATTAATAACGAAGTTAATTTTTAAATTTTGCAATTCAAAACAAATAACTAAGAATTGAAATTGTAATTATAATTAATGATAATTACTATATTGATAAAAATTAATTTTATTAATATTACGGTTATTTATCACACCACTCATTGTGTTTAGTGCAATAATACAAAAGCAGGAAGTGAGAAGAATCGTGGCTGTTTCTGTCCAGTGTTCCACGTTGTGGTGTATATTATTTTCAGTAGAAAGTCCCCCGCGAACCCAAGTAGGTACCTGTTGTAAGAGAGATCTCCATAGCTCGTTGGCGATGTCCGAGAACTTTGAACTGCGGCAGGGACACCTCGCTTGACACACCCACAGAGTTTGGCCCCTCATTCCATTTGTACCGGATGTCTCGCATGGTGTAGCCGACTGTGCGCAGCGGACACATAAATAAAATAACCCCAGGCCCATCGCAATGGGTTTTTATCGAAGTCATTATTCGTTCGGGGTAAGAGCGGGGGGAGCCGCGAGATCAAATTCGCGCGTCTCGTCGTGCGATTGTCGTGTCGTGTTTAGCGTGTGTGCTAGTGTCGCGGTATCGATCGTCTGCACACGAGCTGAAGGAGACGGGGTCGGTGGCGAAGCGATGGACGGATAGTGCTAGGACAGCGGCTATTGCGATAGATTACCTGTCGTAAGCGTAACAACGGTAGCCCGCTGCCGATGGCCGAGAACCCTGAACTGCGGCAGCTGCACTTCATTGCTCATGCCGACGCTTGATAATCCGTCTTTCCAGTGGTATCGAATATCTCTCATAGTGTACCCGACTCCGGAGACATGCCAAACACACAAAACGCTATCACTTACGCTGCGAAGAATCGCGTATCCCTCATGTGGCACGGCGGTGTCCAGGGTGGGACTCGCGGGCACAAAATGGCGAGACATAACAGTAACTGAGCAGAGCCGAGTGATTGTATGAGTGAAAACTCTCGGATCGGCTCGACATGGATGATAGAAAAATATAATCTACCAAATCTACCCACTAAGGTGATAAGAAGCGAAAATAAATTATTAATGGTTCAGTGTTAATATAAATAGTGCGACATATAAATGTGTAAAGAAAATATAAAAAGAGGCTAAATATCTCTCGTGAAGTTAAGAAATTAGCGAATGTAAATGATCATGCAAGTGCGTTCGGTCGGTGTGTACTGTGATGAGCGGAAGCAGAGCGTCGGTGCGAGGGTGTGGTGTGAGGGCGCCGTGGGCACGTGCAGTGCGCCCTGTCTGCGGCACGGCCCTCAGTGGTTGTGCAGACCCCGCTGGCGCCACCGTCCCCCGCCTCCTTCGGCCCGCTCAGCTATCGCAGCGTCGATGTCTCAGTATCATTTCTTTCGCTTTAATGCTCGTGAGAACAAAGGCTTACTATTTTACGAGTCTGCCTTCTGCGGGTGCTGTATGCGAGAAGGAGACGTTCCAACTTATGAAAACACGAGGGGAATCACAGCACGTGTCGACGAGTAAGTTGTACGCTTGTGCTCACAGGGTATCCCTGAGTAGCATCTGTGATACAAGAAAGTGGTCACAACACAATATCTGTAAGCCTAGTGATAAATTTGCATTGTGGTAAAGAGTCAAATCAATGGTTGCTTTAGGTGAGCACAATACACACGTATAATTTTAAAATACTATAATGATATTATTTTTCTATCATCGGTTTGATAATTCTTCAATGCCTCGCATAATATTAATTTATATTATTATATTATCACGTTTTATATAGCGAGATTGGAATTGCATACAATTACTTATCACAAATTTATTATTTTACAAATATATACTTAATATTTTAATAATACATACAAAGCGTGCGTTACTTTCATTTTTGAATATCATTATGTAACAAGAATTGTTAACATAAACAATTCTACATAAGTATAATGTTGTTGTTTTATACAGGTATTTATATATATATATATATATATATTCATATATATGTATATTGGTGTTATTGCTTAAAAATCATAAACACAATTGTGTTAATATTATATATTATATCTTTAAAATAATAAATCACAGTAAGGATACTTACAACTCTCGATTTCAATATGACATAATTGCCGATCCATTGGGAAATATTGAAGATTCATTGGACATGATGCTGTGATTGTTAATCTGTAAAACAACGATGAATATAATGGGAAATTAATAACTTACATAATTATTGTTTTTACAATAATATAATATATACAACGTCCATTATAAGGCTGGTTTCTTCATTATTTACCTGATACTCCTAGTGATTGAGCCGGAGTAATGTATACGTATAAATTCGTTGCTAGTAGTTGCTATGTGGAAATACGATTGTTTCTCATTTACAAAGAATGTATCGGGCACCCATATGTTCTTTATGAACTCAGATCCTACCGACAATGTCTCCACTCCTGTTCTTTTTTTATACGCTAATCTGGGGTCTGTCCAAAACTGTCTGAAGTAAAAATCCAGCGTGAAATCCTGGGAAGTAAAAAGTCATATGTAATATTTAGATTAGGAATGCTTCTTGTCACTAAAACATCAAGTTTAATATTTGTATATGCTTTCAATTTTTCAGATTGATTTGTATTTTTATAAAACATAGTTCCTACTTCAATTATTCAGTCTTTAATGACTATAATATTTTATTAATATTTCTTTAGATAATTTTATTTTGTGGGAACTATGTTACATTAAATCAATAACAATCATTTGGTTAAATATGGGTACTATTACATACATATTATATAAACATCTAACATCTGCATGCTATTTCTTAATAATTCTCCCACAACGTGTCAGTATGCACTGCGACAGATGTGTTCAAGATACTAGATAAAACAATCTTACATCTTACGGTCCGAAGCTTGGTTCTCGTAACTTCAGATAGGAATGACACTTTAGGATATGATATAGACACTGTACTACATCAAATAGACAATATGAGCGGTAAGCTGAAACAATTATTAAAGGAAACAAACAAAATGTGCAGAGTGTAATTGTGATAACATGAAGCCTACAGAACACGGTGAGGTCTAAGAATGAACAAGTAGGTAGGTGCTAAGTGGTAGGAGAGAGCAAGGGTGGCAGCGCAGGCTCGGCAGGCACCCACGGCTCGATAAAGGCAGTCCTCTCTTAATTGAAGCTAACAAGCCGGCACGTTTAACAAGTTGCCACAAATAAACTTGGACCAGGGTTGTGGAACAAATTAACGTTCATTAATGAGCTCGATTCGCGGGTTAGTGAATAAGGTAATCTCCCCCCTGGGCCATGGGTCGTCGTCACGTCTCACTGTGACCTTCCCAACCTTGATTTGGTTTCCACTCTGGGGTCCTTAACCCAAACATACGCCTAGCAAGCTCACTTAGTTTGACCCATTGGAAAACCGAATGTTGACCTCGACATTTCTTTTATTTATTTTTTATTGTTAATATTTTATATTTATTTTATCCTTCACGCGTGAAAGTTACGACATTGGTTCGATAATTAAATTTGCAATGAGATCAACCGAAGGCCAATTATATCGGTATTCCAAGTCACTGGAGAGAATAGAGTTAACGGTTATATTGGCAGTATTTTAGTAGATACACATATACGTACATACACAACAAACTACAGAATGAGTCACGATAAGAGTTTGTACAGTCGTCGCAAGTCCATAGAGCATAAAATATATTAACTGAATATTAAAATTACTTTTAATCTTTGACTACGTTAAAATTTTTCTATCCAGGCCAGTAATAATTTATAATTGATTATTAATTATATCATACAAATACCACTTGAAATGGTAAAAAATATGAGTGATGATAATCTGTTAGTTATTATAATGTATTTTTTTATCATATTTACTGCAGAACAATATTATACAACAATACTATAATAAATTGAAGTATTGATTTATATATAGTACGACCATACAAATAAAGTTGTGATAGAAATGTAATAAAAATATATTAATAACTCGATGATGTTTAATATTGTACATAAAGTACTACCAACTTAGAAATTGCATTTAAAATATTTATGTTATTTTTAACAATAACAAATTATTATTGTTATTAATGAAACGAACAGACGTCATCACTTAATATCCATGTAGCAGCAACTTTGGAGTTACGAGTACTGCTGAACACACAATTGGATAACTTTCAAGGTTTTTGCTTTTCTTATTATGATGTTGGTGTTAATTATTCTTTAATACATTCAACTCGTAGAACACATAATAAGAAAGCAAGTGGGCGGACAAAAGGGCGATCTGCTCCACCAATCGCGGACATGCTCGCAGCCTCGTATCTGGGGCTGCTCGGTCGCAGCGGCGCAGCGCGCGGCCGGAGCGACCGAGACAAGCGTGAGCTGACAGTGGCGAGTACCATGAGCACTTCGGAGACGGAGCTGATAGAGAGCACATACATGGTGACGCCCACCTCCACTGGCGGACCTGCAATCAAGCCCAATCGTGAGTCTAGCGCGCGCCTCGCGCCGTGAAAACCAAACCAGAGGACGGTGACGTGTCCCATCGCCGACGAGCGAGTTGAGCGGAGGGGACGCGATAGGCGCGGGGTGCGTGCGGGTGACGGGCAGTTGATGTACGAGGGGACGCTGTGGAGCATGCGGCGAGCGAGCTGGCAGCGCACGCCCGCTCTGTCCACGCGGTCCACGCTTGTGCGATGTAAACGCACGCGCACCGCGCCGTGAGTTACATCTCTTCGCGCCTACTATACTCGTACACGAATGCAATCGAACCGTGGACACGGGTGCTACAATGAACGGTTTAATGCTGGTGATCATACTAAAGGACAATATCTTGCTATGTATGCGCTGTGTCTTTAATATTGTTTTGAAAGTAAGATACCATTTTCACTTCAGACAGAGAGCTGATGGAGAGCACGTACATGGTAACCCCCACTTCCACGGGTGGTCCTGAAAACGACGCAATAAACACATGACAGGAATAAAATTTTCTATTTCTATAGTATTCTTTTGTCTTTGTCAATGAACTCTCCATAATATAATTGTTTTGTTGGTAAAGTTCTATATGGCGTAACTAATTTTCTGACTATTAAATTCGACAATAATGAACAAACTTATAAGAAAGAGAGGATCCAGCTTTATGACTGCATAAGTTTTTTTTATATATTTTAAAGATACATAAAGAAAATAATTAAGAATACGAATATTATATGTATAAATACCATACGTCGGTCCTTTTATAATTCTAAGTAATTATGTTATTATAGCCATTCCCCAGATTCTTTAACTAACACAACTAATTTTATTTTTAATGCACGAGAAACACAATTCCTAATATTTCGCCTTTAATCAGATTTAAATTAAAATAATTATAAACAAAATAACTTAGATTTCCACAAATAAGTTCTTTGCTTATTGTATATATAATATTTTTCGTTAGCAAATTTTTAATAAAATTTTGGCCCAAATTTTATATTCATATTTAAGAGTAGTAACCATGAATCTCTTTGAACATATCAGATTAATTTGCTTTTGTCTAAATTTTTAAATGCTTTGAATAATTATTTCAGGGGAAGTACTTTGCCTACGGATACATATTTTAATACACAAACAAGATTTTTACGAATATATCGTATTTAATTAAGTAGATATGCAGGATGTAAATATTTTTTTCAGCGCTGTAAATAATGTTACTCTAATGTGACAAACGGACTATTTTTTTTTAGTTGAAATAACGTTATATAATTTGAAGAAGTTTTTAAAATTTCGAAATTAAAACTGCTTTGCTATCTATTAATAGGTACCTAAGGATGCCAGTAAATAGCACCTCAGCAATTCCCGGATGCTGTCAGTAAATATATATATATATATATATAACAGCAGGGCGGTCTGTTATTTCATTTTTGCCCAACATAAAATATTCACTGCTCATTTTATTTTCATTTGAGCACGAACAACAACGATTATTCTTTAATGAAGTTCGTAATAATTTTGTAGGTAACATTAAACTGAGCAATATAATAATTATGTAGTAGATATAATTTTTATATATTCCAACTGCAATAATGTTATAATTAAAATATTAATTCTTGAAGAGAAGAGAATAATACCTGTATTGTTTTTAATCTAAATATATGTGCTTGTACTAAATAGTTCAAAATTGATTTACTAACCTCCATAATTGGGCCTTACTCTTTTGTCGTAACTTATACTAAATGAATCCAAAATGGCAGATATATTGACGTCGCCGAACATGCCACCCCCACCGGCACCCCTGTAAGAAAAAGGAGAAATACAAATATAGATATTAAAATTAATAATATTAATAATAATTCTATAATATAATACAGTCCTATTTTTCCAACTTGAAACTCTTGAATGACAAACGAGCTGACAATTCATTTCGTGAAAAATTATAACCTTCGCCTAAAAACATGAACAACGCCATTGCCATAGATGTAGATATGGTATAATTCATGAGTTGTTACTTAGGACGAAGGACAATTTTTCCGCTTTACCCTACCTTTATCCTATAATTTTACTGCTTAAGAAATTTATACAATCATACAAGCAAAGCTGCTTGGCGGTAGTTGAAAGATGAGTAACGAAGAGATATCCATCCACACGAAATTTGTCCAAAATTTATAATTGATAGGTCACAATATTTCCATTAAGGAATAAGTAGAAAGAAGAGAAGTCTAAAGATCTTCATCTTTACAATACATCTTTATAATTTTTTATATATAAATATTTATATTTTGATCAACTGTATCACTTATCACATGCGCAAAACCTATTAGCTTACATTACATACATAGAGTGTCCCCATACAAATGCTTCAAGAAAAGAGAGTCAACTTTTTAATACATTTTCAGTCATAAATAGTTATAAGTGATTCCTTTAATAACTTCTATATTTATTTTATCTTATAAATTTAGCACCTCTTTACTGCGCAAAAACTCATTATATTTATTAAATAAATAAAATAGATACGTCAAGATAAATTGTGTCCGTAAGTATATAGAACATTAATAAAAAAAAAGGAGGAGTCAGCTAATTTAATATTATTATTATGATTTTATTGAAACCTAGCATTTCTAAAATAATATGAAGTATAGGTAATTAACGCATTTTATTACTTATCTTTTCACTTTTGTTAATTTTTATTGTTAAAATATTTCTTGTTAATGTTAAATGTGAAGTTAAAAAATATTTTTCTTTCTTTTAACTTTATGGCATTGATTTATACATTTGCAAATTATAGGTTCATAAAGCGATAAATATAAATAAAGATAGATCAATGATAGTGGTATTCTAATTACCTAGCTATGCGCGTTACATCGTTATTAATCCTGTCCATTGCGCTACAATGCAAATAATTATAGAGATGACATAGACAAGTAAATTACATGTAATCGATGGAATGAATTATGTCAATGTTGACAACGATAACATCATGGTGTGAGTTGAAACTAAGTGATATGGATCCATTACATTTGAAAAAGGCACACGATAATAGTTACTTTTCTGTCAAACAACTTGCAAACAGAAAACGTACAACTGTGTACACTGTACACATTCATCGGTACACTGTATTTTTATACAAACCTATTCGAACTGAGCTTGATTAGTATATAATAACTGATATACTGTTTGTTTTATATACTGTTACTAACGTCCTCCAATTTTTTTGTGTGTGATATTTTTCACGTTTTTTATATGTAGAAACTGCATCAAACTATGTATATATATTACAGGAAAAAATATATTGGAAAGTAATATAAAGTTATTCATAACTACCTAAGTACCAAGTATACGATAAAGTACTATTACTGAAAAAATGGTACTACCATTTTTTTTAAATAAATGTAGTAATAAATTAATTCTAAAATTTTATATTTTTTTTTTCTATATAATGTACATGTTATTAATTTTTTCAATCTTATAGTCTCCAATAAAAAAAATCTTACTTTCCAATAATAAAAAGATACCAAATGTAATTCACTTCTAACGATTACTATATAAAATATTACGTCTTCTGTATCGCGATGAAATTATTTAGTTTATGTTAAAATAATATGTTTACATAATATGACCTGAGACAGAAATCAACAAATCGTTCGACGTATCGCTTTACCCTATAATCATCTAAGAAAATAATATACAACAGCCGGACATAAAGAATGTATAATTTGAAGTAAATATCTACCTGCGCGCGTTGTAATATATAAGAGGAAAACTTCAATAATAGCTGTTTAGTAAGTGACAATTTAGCGGATAGAATTCTTGACGATGGCTCTTTATAATAATTTTAGAATATTAAAGAGGTATCTTGCCTTGATATAAAACAATAGTGGAACTAAACCGTTGAACAATGCGGATGCTAATTAATATAATTTCCCTCTCCGTTCTTTCTTACTAAAAGAACTAGCTTTTGCTAATTTAGCTAACGGACCAACTTTTTACTCTACTCTACTCTACTTTCTACTTTACGTTTTACTCTATTAATAGAAAAGAATAGATGTTTAAATTAATTTAGTTCTACTAGTAGAACTAAATCGTAGAACAATAGCGACATAATCAGAATTTATATTGTTTTATTAAAAGAAATATTGTTAGTCATAATATTTTTGCTTCGGAAATTACTTTATTTACAAGAAGATAATGGTATGGTATGCTCATACACACTATCTATATTTGCTTGCGCAGTATCAGCGCAATTAAGGATGAAGAAAAAGTCAGATCAGTTAGCTTATCGTAAAGAATTTGCCATTAGAACCAGGATGGTTTTTAGGGAGGATCGCGTGGAGGTCGAGATGATAGGGTATATAATATATTGTCTCGTTACTTTCCTACCCTCCCCCCTCCTCTTCGAAGAATACTTAGTTTTCTTTTGATAAACCAAGGCGGTTACTACGTGAAGAACATAAAGTTCGTAGCATGGTGCTACGTTGCTACAAAGCAATAGGTGAACTCGCATATTTAAATCTGGTTACTACATCGTTATCAGATTTCGTATTTTTTTTCGCAAATTTGAATGAAATATTTTACGTTGGCGGAATGTTGGTCAAATTTTTGGGGAAATATAAAATGGGTTTAAAGATAATGTAATAAAACAGTATGCAATTTTGTAGAATATATACATTAATGTAGTATATAAGTTATACGAGGCGAAAAAGACAGAGTGAAGGACGATTTTTTTGTTGTGTGTGGTTATATATTAAAACGTAATAAACAATAAGTAATTAGGTAAATGTGAAGATAATTATATCAATTTGGAGGAAGATATTCGAAACTTATTAACATAAGTTTTTAAACAAATTTTCTTGTGAAGATACGCATTTTAAAAAACAACTACTGCTTATAAATTTTATAAATGATGAATTTTGTATGTTTTATTATATGCTTAATACAAAAATCAAGTATTAAAATTTTGTATTCCTTGACTATGGTGAAATTACCACTAAATTAAGATGGAAAAATGTTTGAACTATTATAAAATTATTAACAAGATAACATAAGAACTTAAGTTTTTTTATACCATAATGGTGAAAAACAAGCTACAGATAACGAACAACAGCCCGTCTGATGGTAAACGCTCACTGTAGCCTATGGACGCCTAAAATATCAAGAGTGTTACATGCGCTTTACCGACCCTGAAGAAACTTTAATATACCCTTTTTGAAGAACCCCATACTGTAGTCTCCAGGGAAACCGCGACAGGGAGCTAATTTCACAGCCTGAATATTCGCGGGAGAAAATTTTTCAGATACCGCTCCTATCTTATAGATGACCTCGGAACCGTACAGTGCTGAAGATGTCAGCAGCGAGTATCTCAATACTTTTGTAGACAAGTAAGGAATTAAGTATAGTAGATATATAATTTCTTAAATAATACGTTTAAATTTTTCTAATAATCCTAACAATTATCGATATTTCAAGAGCAATAATAGAAATAATCAAAGATTATAGTAAGAAATATTTTCTCTGTTATATTGTCATTTGCTATTATTATTACTCATACAAGGAATCGCATTCTAGTACTAAGAGTTCTAGGTAACCTTCGTTATACGCGAAGGCCTCTGACGTGTCTTGCCGTGGCTTTTACTTGTTAATATTAATATTGAACTGTCGCAAATTCAGACATCCCTTTATAATAAAACTCCGCAATGTGTCTGCAGTATTTTTATATTTATCTCCACTTTGCTGGCAAAGTTTGACGTACCCGGCATCGATATATGCAGTTATAGCAAAAGTTTCTTATCGGGCCGTATTGTGTCGTCATATAGCAGAAAAAAAGTTTCAGACCGACAAGTCACATACCAACTACTTCATTATTGTAGATGCGATAAGCTATTGTATAGTGGATTGTTTTAATTACCCATTTGAATATAACTATCAACGTACAATTCTCGTCTGTTAAGGTACAAAGAAAATCAATCAATTGCTTCTATCGTTATTCTAGCTGAAGCTTATTTTTTACTTTCTTTATCTTTTACCCTTATTTATTTCTCTGTCCACCTATGTAATCTAGAACGGGATTTCATCCATATACATCCAGATACTGTACGTGTGGTCCCGGCATAGTATAGGCCACCCCTTCCTTTCCCGTGGGTGTCGTAAGAGGTCACTAAGGCAGGGCGAGGCATGAACAGTAGCGTCTCTGTTAAAACATCTCTAAAGCTTAACTGCGGTTACCAATCCGCCTGTCAAGCGAGGCAATTACAGGAAAAACCCCCAAGGGAGAGGCTTATGTTCAGTATTGGACCATTAAGGGCTGATATGATGATGTTGATGACATAATATTTATGACTTGCTATATCTATATCCATTTTGTCATTTTTACATACATAGATTTACCTCTATTACAGCACAGCTCGATTATCCTTATAATATTGTAAATATGAAAGTGAGTTTATTTTTTGGCGCCTTAGTGGCATAACCAATCACTGTGAAATTTGGTATACATGTACGATATGGGTTGGAGATGGACATAGATTACCCTATTATCCGTGTCTATGAACATACCCCGATCACGTGGACGAAGTTGCAGGTAAAAGCTAGTTTTTATATACATTTTTAATAACTTAGTTTCACCTTGGCACCTCACAAGAATATTCTTGAGCTATTATTTTCCGTAACTTCACTTGGTCTGATCATCTATACTGATAACTAAATAAATCATTTCTTAGTGGCCCTCATTTTATAAACTTTTTTTTCTTAACACTAGTGGATAAGCCTGTTAGTATGGAAAAGTCTATGACTTTGCCAGGA